CCCCCCCCAAACACCTATTATGATATAATGCTAGAAAACAGACATCACTGAACTGCATGACAGAAGCAGTATACGAGTAGTTTAAATTCATTCGTGCATAAGAAAATGTGTAGGCCTACTAAACACAGAAAATATGCTGTGCTTATATAGCAAGCTCAGCACTAAGCGCAGTCTGGCTATACCTTTCCTTTGTCACTAATACCATACATTTATTTTAAACACGAGCAAGGTTACAATAGCAGCCTATCGCTCGTTGCTCCCATCCATCATCATCCCGTTAAAACGTTATTGCTGATACTGTTACATTACTATGGATGCATAAGGCTTATGACTGTTTATGTTTTATAAATAATATCTTAAGTCAGTGAATCAAGTGAGTGAAATTAGTACCTCAGATTAGTAGATCTACATCTAGCTTGGATTTTGTGATGTTTAAGTAAGTAATTAAACACAAAGGCGATGTAAAATTACAGCGGTTAGATCTGATATTAATTAACTGAAAAGTAGGCTTTGATCAGACCAGGCTCCTTTAATTATCTTATCCAATATTTTCTTCAAAACATATATCTGGATCTAATTTGCCTAAATTCTTATCAATCTTATTCTTACCAGTGAAAAGAAAGAAGAGGGGTTCCTTTGGAGGCTTTCTTAGTGAACTGATAGACACAGCAGTGTTGCACCATCTTTTCTGGTCTCGCTTTCTTCAGTCTTCCTCGTCCAGACAAATCAGACGTTTGCTGGTGATGAATTTACTGTAGAGAAAGCCTCTAAGGCTGTAAGACGTTAATCCAGAAAGGGACTAGAGGTTTCACATGCTTGAACTTTTAAGATAATCTCTTTGGACTAAAACACAACGTTAGAATCTAATAAAACACATTCCTTAATAAGGGCAAAGACACGCCCACTCACTTGTAAACAAACTTCTTTGCCAACTCGAACATAGCCGCCAATAAACTCAAAAGTTTCCGTGTCACGTGGTCGTGACCTCGTACGGACGGACTCTAGTTTAGGCTATAAAAAATAAATGAGCAGATTAATGACTGTCGGTGCGGAACATGGAGCTATTAAACAAAAAGCAGACAAAACACCTTTTTAATGGTCAGAACTGTTTCAAAATAAAGAGGCTATTTATCAGTGTAACCATTTAAAAAGGCATTCTTCCGAAATTTGACTTCTATGCCTAATATATGTATTTAAAATCTAGTCAAGGCTTAACTTAGATTTTTTCACACAAGTAGCAGGGTAACTGTCGTTTGTTGTTGTTGTTTTTTTAAATTGGCGCCTATAATGAAAAAAAAAGGGGTTTTGTCAGCTTGACAGAGATGGTGGCATATTTGTTACTTGAATGGTCCAATGGCCTTTCTCTTGGAACTAAGCTTCGGTAGGCTAATACATACGTATAATAATGTACTTTTATCATTGTGAGTTCGATTTAAAATAAACCCAGAAACATTGTTCTTCCTCTTCCCTCGACTGCTACCGTCTTGACTAGGTCCCAGTTAAGCCGAATTAATAGCATAATAATATATAATATACTACATTGCATTAGATAAATTGAGAATACTGCTGTGAGTTTGGATGATGATTTTTGGGCACCTTTGAAAAAGCACGAGCTTGATTTGTGCTGTGAGTTTGGATGATGATTTTTGGGCACCTTTGAAAAAGCACGAGCTTGATTTGATTTCATCGCGTGCATGACACTTTTTTTTGTGTAGACAGCCTGGGAAAAGTGGGCGGGGGCACAACAGCAGGCTCGAACTCTTGGTGATGCTTGGTTCATTGATGATCTCTTGCAAATTAATGTATTTAAATTATATCATTTCTTCAATAAATCACGTTAGGGTATCATGTATCTTTCAAATCTAACAATAACAAATCCAGGCAAACTAACAATATAATGAAAAAGTCTACCTCCAAAATGAACTACTACTAGAGACTCAAGGGCCTTCGCATCGTAGTTTTCTAACCTTTCAAATTTCAAACTTATTGTTTTACCGAATTTTCCGTTTCTTGATTTTATAGTCATGTTACAAAGATGGCTGCCGTCTCGTCCCATGTAATCAACATCGATGAGCTTGCCTAGCCCAATGTAACTCGAGAATTCCACGAAATAAACCTTGAAGCCAGGTTTGAATTATACTTCAGTTTAACGAGCGTTGAATGCCCATGAGCACGTTTGTTTCTTACTGCGCTATTTGGTCTTGACTTTATTGTATTCTTTTATCTTTTTATTCTAATTGTTGTCTTGTTCTTCTATCTTATCAGTTATCAACATCATCTTTTTATCCCGATCTCAATATCTGGAGTCTTGACGTCTTCACTAATATCTAGAATCTAGACTCTAGTTAGTTAGATCTAGAATCTAGATTCTAGATCTAATAGATAAAGATAGAGATACTTAATCTAGAGGTAGATCTAGATCTAGATTTAGATTCTTATTCTATCCTATGGGGTGCCCATTTTAGGGCTGGGGATCGGGCCGATCGCCCGACTCGGTCGCCTGAAACTGAAAACAAACGTTTGTTTTTGAGACAAAGAATGAAGCTGCAGTGAGCACCTAGATCTAGATTCTAGATCTAGCACACTTCTATTGATGAATTATTATTTGTCTTCCGTGGCTTTCCTCGCCAGTTGCCACTTTACGTGCGATGGGCTACGTGACTAGATTTCATCACCGACTGCTAGGGCTGTGTGTGCACGTGTGTGTTCGTGCAGGCTTGTGTGTGTGTGTGCGCGCGTATGTGTGTGTGTGTGTGTGTACGACTTTAAGGAGAGAAGGTAAATTCATGGAAAGAGAATTTCTGAGATTGTTTTTGGCCACCTCTATTCTCACCCGGAGTGAGAATAGTGCAGGCGAGTCTTGTGGCTATTCTCACCCGGTGCGCGTTCACCAAATTTTGCGTTCACCCTAAACCACAGAATTCTACACTGTGATAACAGAAAAATTGTAGAATTCTGTGCCGTGAACAAACGTTCCATTACAATTGTAGCCTACTAAAAGCATATAATTTTGTCTGTGGGCAGTGGAGAGAGAGAGAGAAAGAGAGAGAGGAGTAGCGCGAGAATTTCCGGGCAAAACAAAATGGCGACCCGTGTAGTTCGGCTCGATTCGAAAAGTTAAATAGCCGTAGCATCTTTGTAGACAACCAAATTTATTTACTTTTGTGTTTTAACATCATTTTTTAACTTTGTTTTGGTCAATTTGATCGTCCACACCGATAGACAGTATTCAGAAAGAGACGGAGAGAGAGAGAAGAGGGGAGGAGTTGATCTTGCGAGAACTTCCGGGCGGGTGAGAATAGCCACTTTCTTGTTTTTATAAAGGCCACCTCTATTCTAACCCCGGGGGAGAATAGCGCAGGCGAGCCTTTTCGCTATTCTCACCCGGTGGGCGTTCAACGTTATAGCCTAGGCCAGCCAGTGTAGCATTCACCCTGAACCACAGAATTCTACACTGTGATAATATAACAGAATTGTAGAATTCTGTGCCGTGAACAAACTTTCCAGCGCTCTTGTGTTACTACTGTTAGCCCCCTAAAAGCGTGCAATTGTGTCTGTGGGCAGTGGAGAGAGAGAGAGGAGTAGCGCGAGAACTTCCGGGCAAAACAAAATGGCGACCCGCGTAGTTCGGCTCGATTCGAAAAGTTAAATAGCCGTACCATCTTTGTAGGCGATCAAATTAATTGACTAAATTGTGTTTTAGCGTCATATTTTTATCTTTGTTTTGGTCAATTTGATCGTCCACATCGATAGACAGTATTCAGAAAGAGACAGAGAGAGAGAGGGGAGGAGAAGACCTTGCGAGAACTTCCGGGCAAAACAAACTGGCGACCCGCGTAGTAGACCTGCATGTTTTCTGACAATCGTCTGAAATCCAACAATCGCGAGCCGGCCGATGCTATCGCTAGGCTCGCCAGCATTAGTCAATTGTGAAGTGCGAGGCCTGGCCGACTGCCAGCGCCCCCTTTTTCTCCCGTCGGCTTTGTCAGCACTTTTATTTTCGTGCCGACTGCCGACGTCGGCGTTTCCGACATAATTGTCGGAACCTGAGTAGAAATACAAATACGAAAAAGCACGACAACCTAAATTATCTACTTTCAGGTTCGTGCTCGAGCGGCCATTTTGAATTTCGTTTGTTTACTGATTGTTCAGATCTTGTGGATTCATTCAAGTCCGAAGTCACTTGTTCCACTCTAGATCTAGATCTAAATTTATAGATCATTATAAACCTCAATGGAGGATTCTTGTTCCAACTCTATAGCTTACAAGTGCTGTAATATTGTAATGTTAATGTTGGTAAAGCGCTTTTCGTCAGGTGCGTGAATTATTTACTTAGAATCTAGAATTCTAGATCTGTAGACTCAGCTGAGTCCCTCTCTGTTCGGAATCGGATGCGGATTTCTCGTTCAAGGCCCATTCCTATTCACTTGTTCTACTAGATCTAGATCTAGATTTATTTAGTTTACTAGATCTATTTATATAACTATATGGAGGATTCATATTCCAATTCTTTTGTATTGTTGTGTCAAACCCTATATATAGCTTTATAGCAATGAAGGCCATATTATGCTCCTTGTTTGTTTTGGAGTGTGCTTTTTTTTTTTGACTTGTGCTGGCCTTTTTACACGAGGACCGTTGCAGGTTCTTTCTTGGGGAAGGCGTGGGGGTAGGGTTTGGGTTAGGGTTAGGTCGCTTTTATTATTTTTGTTGGGGTGGTAGCTTGTTACTCGGAAGTCCTTCCTTTTAGGACACCCACAGATTTAAAAGCTCTTATAAGTTATTGAGGGGGGGGGGGGGGGGGTGCGCGCAAAATTTTCAGACAATCTGGTTGAGGTTCACATACAGGTCTACACGTAGTTCGGTTCGATTCGAAAAGTGAAATAGCCATAGCATCTTTGTAGACGAACAAATTAGCTTACTTTTGTGCTATAGGCCTAACGTCATTTTTTCTTTGCTTTTATCTATTTGACCATCAACACAGATAGACAGTATTCAAAAATTAAGAAAAACAGGTCTTGCTTTACACTGGGTGAGAATAGCCTACGCTGGTAAGTCTCACCCGGGGTGAGAGGTCGATCGTATTTTTATTCTCACCCCGGGTGAGGATAGCCACTTCCTTTTATAAAAGATAACATTTATGAATTAATACAAAAAAAAACCCCCCAACACAACGAGATCTAGTCAACAGTTACTGGCGAGGGAAACCCAAGAGTCTTGGGGGAAACCCAAGACGACAAAAATAGATGGCGGAAATACGTCTTCTTTATTTGGGCCAATCACGGAGGGCTAGGTGCTCGCTGCAGCTCCATACAGTGTTTTTGAGGCAACCGAGTCGGGCGATTGGCCCGACCCACCGATCCCGTCCGTAATGGGCACCCCTTATTAGCGTTTAGATTTGACTCTTGAGTTGAAGTAGTTTTGTATTTATGGCTTTAATTTCTTTGTAGAGATCCCCAGACTTATCTTAGTTTCCTTGAATGGTTGCCATTATTATTCCCCTAATTGTAGAAAATGAGTTGGAATTTAAAAACAAGCGGATAGCTGGAGAACGACAACTACAAAATGCCTTTGGCCGATATTTATAGTACTTAACAACCTTCTTATTTGACGTCATTGAAGTATTCCCACTTTGTCAGTCATGGTGACAACATGACTGCAGGCGGCAGCCTGCCGATTCGGACTATTTTCTTAACAAGTTGCAGAACTGTTTGGTTTGATTGTTTGTGATTGATTGTGCAGCACCCATCTTCCACCCAGATTGATGCTGATGTGAACCGAGAAGAAAAAGAAGACTTTATAAGAGTAGGCCTACATACGAAAGCAAGTTCAAACAAAGTTCAATAAAGCAATGCAAATGATTGACTGTTTCGATCCGGATCCTTTTTTAAATTAATTTTTGTAAAAACTTACAAGAGATTGGGCTCAATAGCACGCTGAGCTGCAAATGAAGTATAATTCGAGACTGTTGGGTTTGGAAATGGATACTGTGAAGTGGAAAGTATATTGTATATTAGGAGGAACCAATAGGCTAGGGAAAGACTCAAAGAGGGAAGCTTGGAAAAACTGCCAGTGCAAACTGCACACTATGCAAAACCATCGCTATTTTTAAATCACGATCAGTAATGCCTTTGCGAGGTCAAACAAGATAGCTGTTACTATAAATATCGGCCAACGGCATTTAGTTTTTGCTCTCTAGCTATCCGCTTGTGATTTAAAACTGGTTTTTGCCTTAGTGATTAGATAATTAGAGGCAGGTAACTTTGCCACTCTCAGTTAGCTCGCGACAAAACAAGCCTACACCCCCTCTATGCTCAACCTACATGACCCCTGTTTCGTCTGAAACTTTTCGTAGCCAATGAAAGTGCAGATAGTCCACTGATTAGTTTGCTTGCTAGTCGTACTTCAGCTGCTTCGTTCTTTTTTCAAGTGAATGTGGTCATGGGAAACTTTTCCACCATATCGAGGAAATTCGCCAGTCCTTGAGATTGAGGGGAAATTACCATACTGGGAGATCATCTTATTTCGTATATTAGATTATTAAAAACAAAAACTAATCTTTCCTTTGCAGCTGGAAATTGTCATTAGCTTTATTTCTCTCCCTCCCAGCCCTCATTCTAAAAGTAGATCGACCGGAGACGTGGTCGGCAAGAGTTTTTCTGGGAACAGTAAATTCTGGGGCTGCCCCAGAGCATCTTTGTCCACCTTAAACAGCTTTCTCCAAATCACTTTATAAAGTTTAAGTGTGTATACTTGTTATTAATCCTTTTCCTTGTTTTCCCCATAATGAAAGTAGTAAATCAAATGGAAAATCAATAGACCTGCCTGGTGAAGTTCCCCGACAATAGGGGCGAATTTCACGGACAAGGTGTAGATCTGTACAACAAACACAATTTTTAAACTGCAAAAGGGCGTACAATGCATACAGCCGACAATAAAAATGCAGCAAATATAATATTTTAATCAATAAAGCAGTTTCAACACAATTTGAGTAATGTATAGCAACGGCTGTAAGCAGCAGACACAGAAAGATAAAAATAGCGCAGGCGCAGCAGCCATAAGGCGAGAGAGGAGGAAAGGGAAGCTTAGCGGGAAGACGCATGCTTAAAACACCACGATTGTTTTTCGTCATGACAATTAATTTTTCTGATTGGTTGATCAATTGACAAAGAATTGTTTATCTCAAGTAACTGGACACTTAAACTCTTCCTTGGTAGGTATATCGGATTATTCCCATTCTAAATTGGTAGGGGGGGGAGGGGGGGCAGGTGGCGAATTTCCCCTCCTGACGAAGTTACCTGTCTCTACTCTGGATAGATGTACAACTTTTACCATCGAATCCCTTCCCTAGATTCTAGATCTAACTAACGTGGCTAGCCTTAGCCTTACACCCTTAACCCCCCCCCCCTTTGTTTTATACCCCTACCTCTCACTCACTGTAACCTTACCGCTACTGCTACCTCATCCCTAGCCCTTATTCCTCACCCTCACTCACACTTTTAGTTTATTATTGGTATTCCAGTGCTCTTGTCTTAGTACTGTCAAAACTAGAGATAGAAGATTGCCTTTTAATTTTTGGTTTGTTCTTGTCTTAAGGTTGTAATCCGGAAATTACTACAGTGCTGTAGTCTCCGCCTATTATTCTACTGCTTACGGTCCAGATTCGCGTTCCATCTATTAAGAAGACATAATTTTTACTACAGTACGCCTATATAAAAATCATCCCTAAGACAAGATCCCACTCTAAAAGACTAGGCTGAGATCCCGCATTTCAGATAATAATTTCCATAACAAAAACCGAGACGAATGCAGCTGATCAACCAAGCAGTGAAAATGTGCGATTACTGTACTGCCCATTGCATCACAGATTATCCACTGTTGCCCTAAACATCACACTCGCGTAGATGAGCTCTCCACCTAAACTTAAAATCACAGGCTTGGTGGGTTGGGTCTCTATCAGACATAATCATATCAAACTGCGAACTCTTTGGTCATTTGGTTTTCCTGACCATTGCAGCAATTCAAGTCTCTGCACCCAAATTTGTTAGACAGACTAAGTTTTAATTGGAGCTATCACTATCACAATACAATGGTGTGTTACCACAGGGACGGGGGGAGTGAACCCGGTCAGAGATTGAGATGGAAAACAGTAAAGGGGAGGAGCAGAATAGGATTGGTACAGTTCTTGAGACTCTTGACTTGACTGGATAAGTGAAAATTGCACGTCTCATGCTACTGGGATTGGTCATCTAGGTTGGCCACTCTTTGCTTGCCATAATAAGATTAAATATGACAAGCATATTTTTGCCTCTTCTTCTGGTCTCTTTTGAGTCATCAGCTGTTCTTCCATGTTTATGCAATGATGTAAAAGGATGTTGTGAAACAGCGGGAAGTTCCACACATATTTTGCATAAATATCATAAAGTGTTTGTTCATCACATTATTATGAGAAACCTGGATTATCTCAATTAAAGTCATATTAAAGCAAAACCATGTGACGGAGCGGAATATTACCCCTCTGATGGATTGATGTCAAACCAATGTGTAATACCGGTCCTCGGGATGGTATGTTTAACAATTTATCTTTTCTAGACCTTGGACAGTCTGATGATATAATTATGACTCGAGTTATGAATGAATGTATATATTTTACTCTGCAGTAACATCATCAATAAAAATATTTTTAAAAAAACCCTTTCCATGGACAGATGGTGTTATGATGGTGTATACTAAATATTTTCAATGTTTGAGTGCACTTCTGTTTGATAGTTTACGGTTTACAGTATTCTGTATTCAACCTACAATTGCGTGTGCCCTCAAAATGAGTAAAAAAAATGCCCTATTTTTTAATACTATTATCTTTCTATGAAGAGTTATTAAAAGATGCGCACATCAGTCTACCTGCTCATGCAGCTTGATGCGTTATGTTTTCAGTAGACAACATATTTTTCCTTGAGTAGTGGTTGATTTAGAAAAAAAGTTTTCATGCAAATACCCCCACCTTTTGGCAGAGGCTCATGTAAGTCGTAACCCACCCCTAGGGTCATGTCAGTACATTTACGAGTAAAGGGAAACAATTGAACCGATTGTGGACCAGAACATGAGTCACCATGGACTGTCCCTTTGGTGCGTTGACTAAGATCCGGCATTTTTCTTTGCTCTCACAAGCATCGGGATCTTAGGTGGAGACTTAGACTATAATTGGTCACTTTTAAGGACAAGCGGGCTAACTCAGATTTCGGGGGTTTCCAGAAATGTTGACCTACACCAAAAGTGGTAATTGGCCTGCTTATAGGAGAAGTTTGGTTTCAATGGTGTGTTTATTTGTTTGGTTATAGGAAACATTCTCCTTGTCTTTTATAGAAACTGAACAAGGGGCAAAAACTTTTCCTTCGATTTTCTCAAAACTGCTTTTTTTGGGATAGCCCCCTTGAGCTTAAAAGTGACCTATTATATAATACAGGCATAGGCCTACTATACTGCTTACAATCCTATTTTAGCCAATAAGTTGATCAGTTTTTGTAGGTCCTCTGGCAAGACAAGTATTCTTGTTAACTCTACAATTTCAAGGAAAATCTTATAATTTCAAAAACAGTAAATTCTACACTGTCTTACTGTATACTTGAAACTGAGTCTAGATCTTGCCTAGTTTGAAAATATTTAAATAGCTGCTGTACTGGCTACTGATCCAGATTGCCTTTAATTTAAATATTGTTTGCTTCAATTTCTACACTGATATTTGGAAATTGATTTTATTTTATAATACACTTATTTGCTGCAATAATGAGACCTACATTTTTTAAAGGCAGCAGGCTTAAAAAGCCAAATATTTTTTATATCATTTTTTTGTGTCTTGGTCTATTTATTGCTTGTCAATCCCTGTCTCCCTCTTCTCTCTTCCTCTTTCTGTCTCATCTCTCTCTTATCTCTCTCTCTTTCTCTCTTTCTCTCTTTCTTTCTTTATCCATCTACACCCCTTGGGTAGCAGGCTTTTGGTCGCTCGAAGGAGATGTTTGCTGCTAATTGAATTTTTAAAGGGGGACCTGCGCAAATCCTAATTGCAGATCACAGGTATTGTTAGTCACAGTAACTGAGACTTTTCCCCTGCCCAGTGACTCATAAAAGAAGGTTGTTATTGATGGAAAGGTGTGAACTGAGCTCCTGTAGTGTATTTTTGGACAGAGTAGGTGTTGTGGAGAAATAAACAAGAGAGCAGGTACGCATGCACAGGGAAATTACAGGACTTGTGGGCCAGTCTCAGTGTTCTCACTGTTTTTGAATATTAAAAAAAAATTGTTGGACAATTTATAGCAATGAAAGTTGCTGTTCTTAGTCTTGGAAAAAGTTTCTGTTCACACTGTTTTTTTTAAATATTAACAAAAAATAAATTTTGGGACACTTTATAGCAATGAAGGTTGCTGTTCTTAGTCTTGGAAAAGGTTTCTGTTAAGGGGGTAGTTAGAAAGGGAAAATTCTGTTATATAAGCTTAGGTTGCTGTTAAGTGGACACCTCTGTACCTTTATATTGGGGAATGTTTTCCTTGACTTTGATGTGTTTGATTTATTTTCTCTTTTATTTGCTTTTATGATGTCATTTCTCAACAATTCACCCTCAGAATCAAGTATGGCTACAATAGAAAAGTTGATCAAGGCTTTTGAAGGCCTGAGAGTTTTCCAGCCGAATGCTCAGGCTGCAGATGATTCAAAGTAAGTTTTTCAAATTGCTAATTATAAACTGAATACTTTATGAAGATCTCTACTGATCACTCAATAACTGACTGCATAGTTTTAAAATAATTGTAAAGAAGAAGCATGTTTGCACCAATAGTACTGATGTGAACATTCTTTTTGTGAATGAGAAAAAATGTTTGTACTTTAAATTCCTCGTCAATTTTTTTTTGTTTTTGTACAGAAGGAAAAGTCCTTTGTTTGGGCATGGTGAATCTTTGCCCATTAAAAAATTTTCAAATATAGTAAGTTTATGAATTTTCAGACAACTTTCACATTTATTTACCTGTTTTGACATTTTTATGTTGCATTATTGATATTGATTTATTGAACTCAAGGGCTATCTCTATTTGTTTCTTTACCACAGGAAAAAGGATCAGAATGTGCCAACAAAGAAGGACAAAATTCTTCACTGCAATGTAGTCGCTGACTGCATGTGTGCCCCTAACATGAGGTAAGCTTTTGTTTCTTATTCTGTTTTCAAGCTAGTTTAATCTAACAGATTTTTTAAGCTCTTTGTATGATCATATTATGATGAGAGATGATATGTTTGCAGACAATGTCATTGTATAAAAGCACTTTGATGGACACATGGACAAAATGCATGCTTTAGATAGAGGCTATTTATTCTTTACGGAATCACTTGGTACCAATGAATAATTTTTTTATTGTTGTTATGAAGCAGTAAAATGGAAGACTAGAGGTACTCTAAGGGCTATTGATTAACGACTGCTTTCTGATGTTCTCTTTTGAAATACTTCAAAGTATCTTTTAACCACTTTACGTCGAATAACAATGATGACAACAACGAAAGCGCGTGTACTTGATTCGTTTAAATCCTTCCAGGGGTGTGGCTGACTTCCCTAAGTTCCTGGGCATTGCTATGGAGGCATTTCTAGCACTGTGTGATGACCCTGAGGCTGACGTAAGAATGGTTGCAGATGAATGCCTCAATAGAACTATCAAGGTGAGGGACTGTTCTGATTTTTTATATGATAGATATGAGTGCGGCCGTGCTGAAAGGTGAATGGAACTACATAAAAATCTCCTTATTGGCTTGCTCTTTGGACTTAGGAAAACAGACAAACGAATTGCTAAACATGTTTGGTTTGATTTTTGTTGTTAGATAATTCCTTTACAAGCACACCTTCATTTTTTTGCTGTCTGTCTAACTCAGTGCAGGGTTTATCTCTATGTCTTCTGTATGGCTGTACTCTGTTAGTGTTTATGGCCAGTTTGTTGAGTTGAATGGTTACCAGAAAATTGTGATAATGACAATTTATTTGTAACAGATTCCTTTCGTGGTGTGTGACTCCCTTTCTTTTCTCCCCTTTGTTTTTAACAGCTTTATCATTGTTTGTTCTTTTCGATATTGTTGGTCCTATACCACATCACCATCTTTTCACTTGATTGTGTAAATCTTGAACAAAACATAAGACCCTGAGTTTAGAGTTCAAGATAGATATGAAATGTGTCACGACGCTGTGAAAACAGGTCAATTTTTGGACATATGGAGTTATTGGTATCATCTTAAAGCTTGTTCATTTGTCTTGATTTTGATAATAAGAATTTCTCATCTGTCTTCAATGGAAGTCAAAATATTTTGGGCTGAAAGAGGTGGGGGTCACCTGGTTTCAGAGATAAAACTAGCAATAAAATGGCTGACAAAGTTTGATGACTTTCAAAGCCTGAGAGTCTTTGATAACTGCAAATTTGCATTTTATGTGCCTTTAATCAATGTTTTTCCAGTAAAATCTCACTGAAATATATTTTGAAATAAACATTATTAAAGACGTTAAGCCAAAAAAAAAAATTCAATAAAAATTGCCTCACCAGCAGAAAAATGCCAGTTTCTTCAATATCATTATTTTGACGAGCGCCTGATTTCACCACGCTGCCTCAAAAATTGGTCTATTTGACTGCGATTTTGTTGATTGCACTGGCCCTGAAAATCACATTCTAAATAGACTGCTTGCGCTTTGTGTCTTATATTCAAAAGATTAAAACAATCCTCAAAAAGCAATTGTTTTTATTTTCCATGAGATAGTTATATTTTTGTATGAATGGTCAAGCGAGGGCAAGCGAGGCAGGGGAAGGCCCAGAACAACATACTTAGGGAACCTAAACAAATGGGTGGCAGGAGAGGATCAGGGAAACGTAACTTTTTTTTAGAGCATCCGAGCAAAGGAATGAATGGAGAACCATGATTGCCGATGTCTGTCGCAGATCTGGCACTGGATGATGATGATGATGATGAATGGTCACTTATGATACCCTCAGGTTTTGCTTGAGACCAATCTAGGCCGTTTGCAAGTAGAGCTGTACAAGGAACTAAAGAAGAATGGTCCATCCCGGTCTCTCAGAGCTGCTCTGTGGCGGTTTGCTGACATGTGTCATCTCATCAGACCACAGAAATGCAGGTAAGTTGAGAGTTGGAAGTTTTTTCACATTGTAATTTTTAAACTTGTTATCATGGCCGTACCCCCACGGACTCTGTATCCCGTCCTGGGGCTGCCACGCTACATGAGTTGAAATTCAGTGTGTATATGTCAAAGTGCTGTATTTCTTACATTGACCGTTATGTCTTAAGGAAATTTGGCAGTTATGTTAGAAATTGAATGTAGTTTTTGTAAATGTATGTGGTTAGGAATTACACCAATTGCATCATGTAGATTTTGAGGTATATTCCATCCTCCCAACTTGACTCTGATTGCTGCGCCCACATTGTCCCCTTGGATTTATAGATCTAGCCCTACTCATCTATATTGCACGAATTCCAGCACTGTCATCTTCACCGTGATCTGAATCGCTATTAGATGAGTCTAATTCCTGTTTATTATCATCCACAACGGAATTTATGGCACTTGATTTGGAGTCACTTTCATCAAATTAGTCTCATTCCCCCTCACAACCCAGCGCCACTTCAAAAAGTACTTTGTCGATCGTGAACGTACATATTCGAGGCATCTTTCAAGCTTCTACACCCATCAAAAACCAAGAAACCGCTGTTCATTGGAAAATTTAAATATTCAGACAGAACTAGCATCGCCGTATTTGGGTATTTTGGTCATTACAAGCAGAGGTAGCTGTTGACGTGACCGTATCGCTGTTCCGAGTTTACTCGTAGCCCGGACTGGTCCTCGCTAAGGGTATACTCGCAGCCCGGGTAAAGAGAGTCAAGGGTGTTATGCACAACAGGATTTGGATTCTCTTTTGTTTGAAATGATGTTTTTTTATCTTGGGAAAGGGAAGAATACTAAATGTGGACTTTTTGAAATTTATTTGTACTTTTTTTATGTTGAAGGTCATTATGTTTCATACGCTATATTATACAGGTATGAATAGCCATATGTTGCACAGAAAGATTGATACATTAAAGTCAAAAAATGGATCTTCATGTACAAATTCAATCACTTGATTTAATTTGCATTCCTCAGACCTTACATTGTGAATTTACTCCCGTGCGTTGCTCGCATTTGTCGACGAGAAGAAGAAGCTGTACAGGAGACCCTCTCATCTGCCATGCCTAAGATTTGTTCCGCTTTAATGCCATTTGCCAATGACACAGAAGTGAAGGTATTTACTAGACTGGAAAAAAGAAATTTTCCTTTTTTTGTTCCCGCTCAGAATTCTCCTTTGCAATTTTGAACATTGCAAGTTAACCTTTGTGTGAAGCCATATCCTATAGAAAACAAATATGAGGATTGCTTTAAACATCACCTCTTGGTGTTAAAGAAGATTTTTTATAGTGTGTTCTGAATTGGATGTTAACTTTAGACACCTTCCTCTCCACTTTTCTTACCTCCCTCTTTTTGTTAGTTCCCTTTCCAATCTTTTGCATTAAAAAAGTTGTCTAGAAGTTATGGCTTTTATTCATAATGAAACCGTGTACCCTACATACTGATTGTCTTTCCTGTGAGTATGGATGGCCCTTACATCCATTATTCCTGTTTTTCCAGGCTTTGCTCAAATCGTTTCTCCCCACCCTACGCGCAACCTCAGCTGTGTGTCGCCGGATGTCAGCCAGTAGTTTAGCCCTCATCTGCCAACATTCCAGGGCACCTCTATCTTTCTTTAATTATTTGGTCAGCGTATTACTGGGTAAGTGAGATACACACTTATTTGTCCTATCAGTAAGATTTTCTAATTATCTGATATCAGAGGTGTGATTTGTTTGCAAAATGAGAAACAATGTCCAATGTTTCCTGTAAGAGTGCTGTCTGCTCTGAAGTATTTCTGAAATTTAATTTGCAAGCAGTGTTCCTTGAATCCTTTTCTTGTTGAATTCAAGACAACGACAGCAATCAGTATCCTATGAGCCCGTCTCAATTCAAAACCCAGTGCTTGCTTGTACACTGTGTTTTTGTTTTAGCATAAAAAGTGATGTGGATACACTCATTTTTAAGTCCTGCATTGTATAGGTGCCAAAAAAATTAATATTTATTCCTATCATCTGTTTTAGAAATGATTTTGCCAGTGGATATTGAGCATGATGTGCCAACTCTGCTGGGGGTTATCCTGTGTCTGCGTCATTCGATTCCTCACCTAGCTCCCACTACCAATAAAGACCTTGGGCTCAAAGACAGCTTTGGGTACAGAGAGGTAGAGGCAGAACAAGCCATCCATGTGGATCAAATTATAAAGGTAAAAAACGGTTATCACCCTTGTCAGATATTTGTTGTTGGAGTAGATGAACTGGCAAGGGTACAGTATAGAATCCTTTTCTTTTTAAGAAGATTATTTGGACTTACGAACTTCAGGCGTTAATTGTAGGGCCTTTGTTCCCGTTCTAGAACTTAGTCTCTGTGACTAGGATTGATTTTTATGGCAGTTCAGTGTATGATGTACGGTGCATTTTTCAAATTTAGAGGTGGGTTTCCTTGTTTTTACAAGTAAAGATTTGTTAGAAAATCCGAGAAGTAATATTGAACAATGAAGAAATTATGTCTATTTGTTGGTGGTATGAGGTCCCAATTTTTTTTTTTGTTTCATCAGATCTTGCAAGCTTTGCTTCACTATACTGGGCACAGTGATCACAATGTGGTGACAGCTTCCCTGGAGTCTCTACAGCAGTTACTGCGCACACCACCTCCTGCATTGTTGAGACTGCTTCTGAAAAAGGGAAGCATTTCAAGAACATTCATTTTTTCCCAAGACTTTAATGAGGAGGAGCAAGCTAGAATAGACAGTGAGTTTTGTTATTAAATTGCATTTCACCTAAATAAATTTTCTCTATTCTAATTGGTAGCATTTTTTTTTGTCCTAAAGAATTTTGTCTTTCAAAATATTCTAAATTTTTGTAGAATACACTTATGAAAATTTATGCACATATTAAAATAAATATATGTTAAATTTAAATTGTCTTGCAGACTTGTGAAATTGTCTTATGATATGAAGTGTAACTGATGTCTCATCTGAATCGTTTGTTAGACATACAAAATATCGTGTGCACAGGAATGTTTTAGACAATAATCTTGCTAGAAGTGAAATCCTTGCTACTGGTGAGATATGTGTGTTATCACGCTTTGACTTTCCTTCCTGCATCTCTTCTTGTGTCATCTGATATGTCATTTTTTTTCCCCTCCATGTTAAGGATGTGAATTTCTTTAGAGAACCTTACTTTTCTTATTGTGTTTTTGTTCATCTTTCTTTTAATTCTTTGCACAATAGTTATTGTTTAGTCATTGTACTACTCAACTGTGCACAAAAAGCAGACCGAGTCCTTTTATCTGTTTTTTTTTCAGGTGTGACTGACCTGGCCTTGACCGTGGATGAGTCGGGACTGGATGATGACCCTGGTGATGTCAGCGGACAGTCGGTGGCTTCAGGGGGATCTGACAACTCAACCTTTGCCTCAGACTATGGCACTGGGTCTTTCACAAGTCAACAGAGGTAAACTGCTGCATTTTTTCACTTCGTATTCTTATGGATTTACTATGTACCTGACAGAACAAAATCCTTTTCCTCAATATATCGCCAATGCCATAAGCTACATTTTGTAGATTGTACAATTTGAGAGGGTAAAAGGCAGGCCAAAATTACTCCCAAACGTTTTTGGATTGTATTTTATTTTGGGTCTTACCCCAGCCTAATGTTTGTAATTTGTCTCTTTTCATTTAAAACCTTAGACATGTTTCTAATTATTATAATCATTATTGGGTGAACTCAGTCTGTGTTCATTATTCGGTGTACTTCGCATTCCCTTTGTTGTGGTTATAGAATTTATAATTTTAGTGTTGGCTGTATTGCTCAGCCTTTCTCAAAATGTATTTCTTTCTCTCAACAGCTCTGATGTTGAAGCTGCTAGTGCAGGGTTGACCAAAATTGTCATTGGCGATGAGGGTGAGATGATCGTGGTCACTGATGGCACAGACTACTCAGGAGTAGAGATTGGCGACCTGAACGAGGAGCGGTCAGAGTTGTCTGCTGCATCATGTATGTAACTTGGTTGTATAAGGAAAGTAATTACTTACTTGTGCATGATGTCAAGGAATGTGCAACTGTTCCACAAGCTTTGGGCTTGGTGAGAGTTGAGAGCTTGTCTTGTAATATGGAAAAAGAAGACTGATTTCTGAATAGTTGCCCTAAACTCTTTAACCGTAACTTTTAGAATAAACAGTTTTGTTTGGGAAATGATGATATACTGCTTGCACTTTTAGAGTGGTGTACTAAGTTGAGGTCTAACTTTGCCACCCATAGTGATCTGATTTGACAGACATTGATTATAGTCATCAGTCATGTTGAACATGTTCTCTGTATTTTGCTTCTCTGTTTACTCCAGGTATCTCCCACAGCGATAGTATAGAGACTTTACAGAGTGTACGGAGCCTCAGTCCACACCCAGGCCCTTTACAATTGCCTAGTCACGACATGAATGGGAATCCACAGTTACCTGTTGAGCAAGAGGAAGAAAGTGTCCCTGCTAGTCCGAACCCTGCTACTGGCGACACAGTGCAACAGGTAAACTGAGTCACAGATTTGTATTCAATTTTTTTCCCTTTTACTTACGACATTGCTAATAGCAAGGTACACCTCAGTATTTGTTAAGATGTGAATCCACATGAAATCTTGCTAACATCTGATCATCTTTTCAGGTGATGCAGTGGATGAAGTGGAACCCTTCTCATTCTGATATAGGAAGGAATTAATGTAAAAATCAGACATGATTTAATGACATAATGCTTTTAAAATGTGATGCCAGTTTTTCTGCTCCATGTAAAATATATGATAATCGATACAGGAACAGATATTTTCAATATAAAGAATACCTGGCTTTGTTTCTTCTCTTTGAAATCGATACTGAGTCGGAGAAATACAGGGGTTTTTTTCAGTACAAACTTACAATGGTTTTATCCTCTTTTTACCTGCACAGATTGAGGTAGAGCCAGAATCGTTAAAGGAGGATGAAGTTCCACTGTTGTTCTACCTTCGGCTGCTCTGCAAAAGATTCCTTCTGACGGGTGTGCCGGAGGGTCTGGTGTCCGACAAGCAAGTGCGGGTCAGCCTCAAGTCTCTGGCCTTGGGCTGTGTGGCCCACAGTGTGGCCATCTGTCCCAGACTCTTTCTCTTCAAGGTGTGCCCTACCGCTACTGGAGCAGGTAATGTCATAAGTTTTTCTGATTTGTTTCAGAATACCCTCTTATGCTGTGATGTGATGCCCCGTTCTTTTCTTTTGATTTGGGAAGACACTTCTTCTTTAAACTTATGGAGATGTGATTGACATACAGTTGTGGGTCGTAGAAGTGTAGTCATATTTTTCTGAAATGCAAGAATAGAAACTTCTAACTGCACTTACGAGGGGCATACCAAAAGATTTTTACCTGACCATGAAGGAATAAAGGTAGAAAGCTGAAATTTGGTACTAACCTTAACTTTCTTTGTGTAGTCACCTCCCACAGTTGTACATTTTTGCTGTCTTTGTATGACCTTGAAAAGACCTTGAGAATAGAAGACCCTCTCTTTGTCAGAAAACCAGCTCTCTGCCGCTTCTTTGACCTCATCATCACTTTCAAATTGCTTCTTTTTAAATCCTTTTTCTGTTTGGGGAATAAAAGATAGTCTGACAGGGCTGAATCTGGAGAATAGGGTGGATGTGGCAAAATTTCATTGCCCTTTTCTCTCGCAGTTTCTGCAGTGTTTCTTGAGGTGTGTGCTTGCGTGTTATCGTGAAGCAGCAAAATGCCTTTTGGGATCTTTACTCTCTGTTTTTCTTTTATAGCCTCTAGTTTAAAAAACTGGTTAGAATAATGGTCTCCACTGATCGTGTGATTCCGTAAAGGATCAATAGCCTTTTTCATGCAGACCAAGCAATTCTTGACAACAATTTACTCCTTGCACTTTATGAGGAGGAGTTAACAAATGTGGGACCCATCTTTCAGAAACCTTGGTCACATTCAAATGTTCATTTAAGATTCGTTCAACTGATCCAATTCTAATCCAAGTTTCTTTTCTCAAACGTTCGACTGTCACCCGCCCATCAGACAACACTATAGTCTTTTGATTTTCAACACTTTCTCCTTTTAGTAGAGGTTTTACGGTGCTCACAACTGCATAAGGTCAGATGAGCGCCAGAAGATTAGAGGTGTTACAAGAGAGTAACAAACATAAAAAAGAAGAAGGGGAGATAAGGACGATAGATGTTTGATAGGAAAGAAGGAGCAAACCACACCAGAGCACCAACTAACGATCCACAGCAAGAACAATACCTTCTCTTCTGTTGTTGCTGTCGCTGGGCGACCATCACGGTGGTCATCTTCAATGTCCATGAATACGTATTATCACTGCGTAGGATGGGCAATCAGTTCCTTATATGACATGCATCTCGTAAAAATTATATTATGTAGTTGCTTGCCTTGCAAGAACAAGTACTTCATTACTGCCCTGTGCTCAATTTTCTCCATTTTCATGTTGAAACTAGATAACAACATACGCCAATTGACCTACAGTGCGCTGGTATTAACCAGTAATCGGAAATTCCCTGAAATTTATATACTTTCTAGGAAGATGATTTTTGGCTTTCACCCCAAATTTCAGTTTTCTACCTTTATTTCTTCATGGTCAGGTAAAAAACCTCTGGTATACCCCTCGTAGAAATTTTGAGATTGATCATTACTTCCTTCATCATCATTATGTTTGTAAATTATCATAAGATTCTTTAACACTTAAAACAAACTCCTGTGACTTGTGAAATTTTCTTCTTTTGCTCATAGAAGTGCTGCGTGAAGCAATGAAGACACTAGAAGTGGATTTCCTTCCTGCTTGATGTGGTCATGATGCAACTAACAATATTACCTTTATCTCCCTGCAGGCAGTGACCAGAACTTACAAGATTTGACACTGTATGCTGGACACTCAGACCACCAGTTGAAAGGTCAAACAGCACTGGTCCTTGGTAGTTTTATCCGTGCAGCGTTATTAGAGGGGCGAGCAGACTTCTCCCAGTGGGTCATGGAACATTTGCCTTCTGAACAAAGTAAGTCAGAACCTCACTAAGTATTTTTATATGATGGGGTTACCCTGAATTTTTTATGTATTGCCTGAGATGTTGATCGCTTATAATTTGTTCACTTTGAGAGCATTTCTTTGTCATAATTTTTCCTTGTTTGTGCCTTTATGTAAAAACGTTGTGTAAGAAGAAATGAAGGAGCTGTAAATAGAAGGGGAAAGGCAGTGTTTCTTTAACATTATTAATACTCTCATAAAGTCATCTCTCTTTATGTGTTAGTTAGTCTTCTATCACTGCTCTTGAACATTTGGGCTTTGTTTACCATAGTTAATTGTGATGTGAAAAGCTCTTTGGTAAAATTGGTTAATCATTCCATCGCTCACTGTGACGTTTTCATCTTCTACCAATTAAAGAAGTAATGTTTCATTTCAGGGACTGAAATTGAGGTTTGCTATTGTTGATTATACATTAATGATTCTTCACTCAGATGTCCTGTCTCTGGAGGATTTATTGCGCATCATTGTGAACATTTTGGGAGATGAGTCAGCTGTGGCTGTGAGGGCTGGGCTGGTGGCCTTGCAGATGTGTCTGTCCCACCTGCTGGACAGCTGCCATGGCCGTCTAGGCCTCAGTATACTGCTTGATCTTCTCTGTATACATAACAACCCTTATTGGCTTGTTAAGGTAATGTTGCCATTGATCTCAGGATAGTGCTGTCTGTGACGTAGGGTTAGGCTACCCGACTTGTAATTGTGAGTTTACGGGTTCGGGGGATCGAGCCGCGGGCCCGATATTGTGTCCTTGGGAAAGGCACTTTACACAAATTTTCCTCACTTCACCCAGATCTTGTCAGTATGTTAGTGTTTTAGCGCTTATAAATGGCTGCTTGCACTGTATGCTTCCCAGGAAGTTGAGGTTGTTTCAGAATGCTCTCGGGTCTGCTGGAGTAACAGTATAGATTGTGAAGCGCATAGAACTTGCTATTGAGCGGGGATTTGCGCCATACAAATGCTATCTATTATTATTGTTAGACATGACAAATTAGTTTAATTATTGTAGGTTTCCCTTTTGTCTTGCTGATCTGTAGCACACATAATGACTTTTTGCTTCTGTATCTCATTATGTGCTGCAAGTATGGCTTCAGACCCTCACACTGAATGTTTCATCTAGGTCCTCATCATCAGTTGAAGTCTAGGAAGTTTGAGTACTCTAAAAAAATGAAAAGCGTTGGACGTTACAATATCAATGTGTACGAAACACACGTAGTAGAGCCAAAACCAGGTGAAAGGACACAAAGTCAAATGATTTTTGCATATGCTCCAATGCAATAGTCTTCCAAAAAATGGTTTATGCTAAATTTTGAAGAGCTTTGGCAGCAGTTTTGTTCCTGAGTAATTTTTACTGTATTTCAAATTTGATCATTCATAATGTGCCTATTAGTTTACTGTGTATTCTATCCTCAGTTAGGTGATACCCTCTTTATTTCTTTGTGCTATGTCTAAGGGAATAGAAGTGTCTTGCCTGAAAGTACATTTCTTGAATTTTATTTAGGTCAGTCTTATGTTAAGGTTGCTGTTTGTAGTCATTATTTTTAGGAAGAAGTAGTGAAATAAACACCTTTCCAAAGTATACTATACTCAGATTACTTCACTTTTGGTTATCAAGTAAAAGTAAGATGTAGGTTTCGATGTATTGTTTAATTTTTAGTTAAACATTTGGGAATACAGGTGGAATATTTGTTTCAGTTTACCAATTATTGTCTGTAAAAGATATGACGTTTTAAGTAAACAACATAGACGTTTCTAAACTTATACTTTCATGTACTTTTCAGGTGGAACTGCTTGAATTAATGGCTGGTTTGAACTTCAAAGTGATCAGCTACATGGAGTCAATCTCACCGGACATCACTAGAGGAGAGCACAATTACCTAGGGGTCAGTCTCGTATTTGTCCTTAGATGGAAGTGATTACTGGGGGTGGATGATGTCTCAGACCTCTCTTATTTAAAAAAATATTTTCTTGTGCTCAAATCCACAGTTGATTTACCTCTTCAAGGAAGGGAGATACAAAGATGACTGTGGGTGGAGAGTTGTTTTGTTATGATTTGCTTAACCAGCAAAATATTATGATTACGAAACTAGTTCAAACAGTATCAGGTCAACTTTACTAGACACCTCTTATTGCTGAAGCAAATTGACAAGTGTGTCAGAATATTGTTTGTCGCAAGTACAGTTGATAGTTTGGTGACTCTAAAAGCTGGGTTTTTTTCTGTTTACAGAAAATGTGTCTACAGCAGCACTGCATCCAGGAGATTTTGCTTCCTCTTTTAGGAGATGAAGACGCTCGTGTGAGGACTGCTGCAGCTAATGCTTTTCTGAGGTATGAAGTCTGTGATCTCATAGGATAAAAGTACTTAAACCCGTGGCTGTGATTCATGTCTATGTTGAAAGTAGGTTTCTGTGGATAATGGAATGGTATATAAGTGAAATATCTTTTATGAGAATAAATGAGAGAATACTTGAGTTTTGTTTGTCCGTTCAAGGTCTTTAAGTTTCAAAAGTTCTGTGTTCATAGAAACTGATGGAAACAATATGATCAGCACAATGCTGTAGATATCATCATGAGGGCTGTGTGAACAAGACTCATTTGATAACCTTTGCTTTTTTAGATGGACTCTGAGGTTTTCTTATATTATATTCTCTGTGTAGGTTTTGATTATATCTGTTCATTTGTTTTAGTTGACTCTTTGGGTTGAAAGTGAGTTTGCAGGGGTTGTTTCCAAAATTGTTTTATTGCACATTATACTAATTTGGATGTTTTCACTTCTTCAGTGTCTTTCAAGGTATGAGTGTAGCTCTTCAAAAGAATTTAAAAATTTGTTTTCTTCTGAATAAATCTGGTCACAGAGTAACTCGTAATGCTTTGTTTTCCTTATCCAGTGAAGCTGTCCACAATGTAAATTACTTTCCCTCAAGATATTCCAGTGTAGTATAGAGTGAAGACAGTGTTCTTCATTGTTTCATCTTAAGGAAAAGATTTGCCATGTAGTAAAGGTTTCCAATTGTTGAAGAAGTTTTAGTTGTTCCTATCTCTGCTTAATTCTATCTGCGATGCAGCTAGAGAACCTGTTCATCATGTTCTTGTATGTCGTTAAGCGGAAAGACACAACCTTTGATGACTACTGGGTTGGGAAAATAAAGTAAACTCTCTATGTCCATTCCACAGACTCATTCCCAAGCTGTTCTATGCTTCTGATAGCCCCCAGCAGGATCCTGTGCTAGCTGTTGCTTCAGACCAGACTCGTTACCTTCTGACTCCAATGATGTCACCAGTGCTTAGTGGTCAGCTGCCACCTTTAGTACAAGGACTAGTGGGTCCGTATAAACATGATGAGTTGGCTCAGGTGTGCCCAGCCACAGAGAGTGCATTGTCCCGTGTTGTGCAGATGTTGCTACATAACCTGCTGGTTTCCAATTCCCGATATATTACTGTGAGTCTCAGTTCCTATTGTATGTGTATGGGGGCATTGACTTTTCCCTTCCTGATTTCAAAAGAATCATAATTTTTCATTCTCTTGTCTCGCTTCTTATTTCTTTTGTTCCTTGTTTTTTCTCTTTTAAACTTTTTCTGCCCTCTTTGTTTCCCCCAACCCCTCTGTCGCACCTTAATGCTAATAATAATATATGACTTGTAGCCTTCAACCCTGATTAATTAACACAGGCTCTGGGCGCTTCACCAATACAACAGGGACACATAAACAGTACATTGTAGTCTGACGAAAAATCTATTTATATTTCTTTAACCTGAAAATAGAAATGACTTGAGCTGGCCTTTGAATGAATTAAAAGATTTTTATCTCTCTTAAATTACCCATCCCATCATCCCATCCTCTGCATTAGTTTATATCACATTTTGACATTTTTCATGTGGAGTTCCTTCAGATGCAAAGATTTTTGTAATGTTGACAGCTTTCTGATAGATGTTTACAGATTGTTGGGTCTTCTTTTTCCTGGTGAAATATGACTGTTGTTGTTCTGACTTTCTCCCTTTAACTCCAACAGCAATAAGATATTGTGCTGTAGATCTGTTTTGAATTTTGTTGTGGACACCAGGTCTTCTTACTCATGTTTTTGTAGAGTGGTTGTTGCAATGCCCTGTGCCGCTTGTCAGAGGAGTACCTTGTCACCCAGTACGCTGCCTCATGGGGCTGCGGCCCTGCCAAGCCAATTGTACCTAAGGAAAGTGAAGAAAGATTTGGTATACGCCGTCCACCAAGTCGCTCACTTAGTGCATCCAGGTAGGAAATTATTATAATTGTCCTACAGTTGTGTGTGGTATTTATCAGTGGTGGTCACACTCTTTTCATTGTAGAATTTAAGATTCAGATAGAGAGGAAATAATTCTACTTTGGGAAAGTTTTGAATGTCATCAAAGGTCTGATGTAAAGCTGGGTTGATAGATCTTGGATTGTTTTGATCTTGACCATTGTCATTCTAAGTGTGTATACACACAAATTTGCCCTCTCTCGAATAATTTTATGCTTTTGAAAAGATAGCTAGATTTATGCACTTTTAGCAGCTTTCATGTTTTCATGTGACGCTCCTATTTTCTGTCCAGCATGGATGAACTAACAGCTGCCAGTGGAGGTGGGCCACTGCCAATAGTTATGTCCCTGATGCTATCATCTCAAGCAGGACTTGAACTCACAACTCATCAGGACCTTCTACAGCTTGCGGGAAATCTAGTTGCTGGTATGATCTCCGTTCTTCTTAATTGCGCATTTCTTTTGTAATGTATTTTGCCCTTTCATCCTCAAATAAATATGGTAAAATTGTTAATTTTATTTAAAACATCAAGATGTTTTATTTTTTCAATCTTCTTTCTTGTTTTATCAAACAAAAGGAAGATTCATTGTGTGCACTGTGCTACCTGAGATTCTGTTGACCAAAAGATGATAGTTTTGGTAATAAGGAATAGAATAATAATAATAATAATGATAATAAATAGCATTTGTATAGCGCATGTCCCCACTTGAAAGCAGGCTCTATGCGTTGTACACTATATTATTATCCCAGCAGACCATAGAATACTCAGAAACATTCTCAGCTTCCCGGGAAGCATACAGTGCAAGCAGCTGGTAAAGCGCTCAAACCCTAACAAACTGACAAGATCTTTCACTGTCCATAGCTGGGTACCCATTTTCACCTGGGTGAAGTGGGGAAAATTCGTGTAAAGTGCCTTTCCCAAGGACACGTCGGGCCCACGGCTCGAACCCCCGAACCCGCAACCTCACGATTACGAGTCCGGTAGCCTAACCACTAGGCCACCGACGCCACAGGAATAGAATCATTCTTTGAGATAATCAGGTACATTGTCAGAATTAATTATAGCTATTATTAAGCACCTTTCTCTCCCATATTCAAAATGAATTGGTCTGAGTCATGTGGTAAATTCGGACTTTTGTTTCAATAAAAAAAATTGTACATATCCTTTTTGCAAGTTCTAATGCGTAAAATGTCTTTCTTTGTCGTTTCATGCACTGATAACTCTATTCCTTTTTTTTTCCAGGCGCAGCCTACAAGAACCTCAAAAATAGTGATGAGCTAGATAAGACGTCAGGTGATGATGTCAGCTGGTCGGCTGTGTCTGACCGCCTACTTTTACCAATCATTGAGCAATTGTTCACTCACACTGCCAGGTGAGACATGGTGGTTTTTAGTTTGACCAAGCAAAATTGTCGATTGTTGGTGGCCTTTAGCAACTCTTTATTCAACCACGGTTTTTATTGTGCCTCCATTCTTATAAAATGATGATTTTGAGTTTAGCAAACTTCAAAACAGTATTATCATTAAGAGTGCCCAATGCATGAATTTGCTTTAGAGGAAGCAGTGGCCCAACCTAGGCAAAGAGTCCAAAAACTCCACAGGAGCCTGGAGGACGTGTTATGAACAGCAGACGTCCCACAAGAGACTGGGATGTCCGTTTAAAGATGAATGAGAAGAAAAATGCAGAAGATTAAGAATGATTCAGAATATTTATCATGGAGCAAACTGTTAATGTTTATATTTGTTTGCTTTTTAAAAAAATTTTTAATGACAGGCAGTAGGTTTGAAGGCTCAACTCTGGTATTGTGATTAAATCAACTTTGTCCAATTGTCATCTTCTCAAACGATTCAAAATGCAGGCTGCTCTGTCCAATTCCCTGATGTCGCTATCTTCTCTTTATAACCTTAAAGTCTGAAACGTGTATGTGACAGTCTAATTCCGTGATGCTCAGTAATTATGTGAAGGATATTTTAAATCTACGTTTGCATTGGAATTGTTTTTATCTAGCTGTTGTTTTGAATAAATGTTGAAATTACACAAATTAATATGAAATATAATGGTCAGTTGTATATTTGAAGTTCTGAGGGAAAATAATGTTGCAAATAGTTGCTTCTGTTGCAAGTTGACATTCTATTTTTCTGTTTTCGTCTTATCATTTTCCTCAATATTTATAAGTTCATCTCAGAAATACAGCATAGGGTTAGTGGATGGCTCTCATAAGTCCTGTTTTGTTTTTTTTTAATCTACCCCCACTGTTGTTTTTATCAGTCTCTCTTGCTTTTCACAGCACTTGTTGACTGTTATTTTATTGATGAGCTTTTCTGTATTGAAACCTGAAATTTAGGTGCTAAAACTCAATCCTAGCTGCTTTACATTATTCTAGTTGATATCTATTTTGATTGACAGCTAATTATATTTTGCCTCCAGACTGCTTAATGCGTGCACTCATGCCATAGAGGAGACCAACCCTGGACCCCCACAAGTCAAACCCTCTCTCCCATCTCTGCCCAATGCGTCCACTCTGAGCCCAGTGAGGAGGAAGATGAAGGGGGAGAAAGATGCCAGTCCACAAGCACCTGTTGGGTCACCAGACCCAAAGACTGGGCAAAAAACTCCAGGCAAAGGTACAAACAAAAGTATTTAGTTTTGTGTAATCTGTACAGAGAAAAAGGAGACAGACACAGGAAGGCCCACTGCATGTGCTGATGCAGTGTACCTGCAGAGCCTTACAATTATGCCAGTATCAAGTCTTCATATTTTTTTCTTTTTGTCTCTTCTTATCTTTACTTGTCTTCTTTTTCAAGTTGCTCCTTCTCTTCTCCTCTCTCCTTCCTTTTTTCTCCTTTTCTCTCCTCTCTTCTCCTTTTCTCTTCTCATTTCCTCTCTTTTTCTCTCTTGTTTTCTCTCCTATCCGCTCTTTTCTCTATCATGTCCTCATATCTTCCCTACTATTATCTTCTGCCAGGTGCTCTCGTGGCCTAGGGGTTAAGGTGTTCGTCTCTCATTCAAAGGTCCTGGGTTCGAATCCGGGTAGTGACAGAAAAAGGGTTGAAAGAAATTTTTTTTTTTCTGTGGCTACCTGGTTCCTAACCCGGGACCTTTGAATTAAAGGCAAACATGCGACCTCCGAGATTTTTCGCCCTTGTCAGAGAAGGTTAGGTGTAGATCTTTCCTACCAGAAGATCAGGGGTGTGGCTGAAAGACAGCAGTAAGGAGCCAAGGAGTAGCAGTAGAAAGGCTGCAAAAAGAGTCAGAAGCCCAGAGGAGGGGGCAAAGGAGGTGAAGGGGATGGCAGAAAGTGAAGATGAAAGCAGATGTCAGAACATTGCTAGAGAGCAGATCAGAAGGTGAAAGGAGACAATTTTTTGGGACAAGGGCGAAATATCTTGGAAGTCCCATGTGTAAGTTGGGCATGTTAAAGATCCCTTGGTAGTCTAAAATCGATAAGAGTAGGCTTCGGCCACCGCTTGGGCGAAATTCAAAATTTCCTACCGACTGAAAATGTTTAATGTGTCCCGCGTGCTCTTATGACCTTATGCAGTTGCGAGCGCTGTAAAACACTTACCAAAAAAAAAAAAAATCTCCTGCCTCTTCTCTTCTCTTGTTTTGTTATGATGTAGTGTCAATCAGTTTTGCTACATTCTGTACATGGCTCACTGGTTTTGAATCAAGTATTTTTGATAAGTAGAATTATTTTAATAACATGGTCTATCTCTTCTCAGATTCCAAAGACTCGGAGAAGGACAAGAAGAAAGATGGAATTGGAGCATTCTATAACATTCCTCAGTACATGAAGCTGTTTGATGTGCTCAGAGGTTCCTACTCTAATTTCAAGGTGAGAAATAAAGAGCCAGTGACACAGAGATATTTAAAACATTATGTTCTCATTTTTGGTACTGGGTGATATAAACACACCTTTTTTATCTTTGACACAGAGATCTGGGTTTCATTTTGATTATTTTTGGTTCAGGTTCAATCTTCAATCACTCGCCAGATCCTTTTTGCCATATACGTACAAGTTTCAGATTTCCTTTACTTTTACTAGCTACATTTCACTACTTACGATCTTGTTCATTTGTATATCTTCTGTTTCCCTTTTTTTCCTGATGTTTTACAGCGCTTGCAGCTGCATGAGGTCATATGAGTGTGCAGGGCACATGAAACTTTTTCCGTTTGGTAGAAATTTAAAATTTTGCACGGGTGGCGGTGGAAGCCTACTCTTATCGATTTTAGGACCATCAAGGGATCTTTAAGGTGTGCACTTGCACACCTGACCTCTGAGATTTTTTGCCCTTATCTGAGAAGACTAGGTGTTAAATTTTACCTATCATAAGAACAGGGGTGTGGCTGAAAGACAGCAGTAAGAAGAAGCCAAGGAGTAGCAGTAGAAAAGCTGCAAAAGAGTCAGAAGCCCAGAGACGGGGGCAAAGGGGAGGTGGGGAAGGGGCAGAAAGTGGAGACGAAAGCAGATGACATGTTACGAACCCGGTACCTGTTGATTGAGAGGCGAAACTGTAACTTCTAGACCACAAGAGGCCCCTTGTCTTTCTCTCTGTCAGTGTGCCTGTCTTTCTGACTGTCTACTATTTAAAATTTAGTTTAAAAAGCAAATTCCATCAATGATTATTTGCCCTCTATTACTTCACTTTGGTATGTAGTACTATGCATGTTCCTGCAGACCTCTCTGGACCTGACAAGCTCCGACAAGTTCTGCACCATCCTGCGCTCAGCCCTGAGGGTTCTGTCTCAGTTGTTGGAGGTTGCCACACTACAGGATGTAGGCAAAGTGACTGAGGAGATGCTGGGCTACCTTAAGGTCACCATGGCTTTGGAGCCCACCTGGACCGTTCTTTGTGTCCAGCAGGTGAGGTTTTACTTTGTTGCATCTCTCCTTTTTTTTTATTGTTTAGCTAAGGACATGGACTGAGTTCACAAGTATAGTTATCTTTCGTTAAATCTATTTTGGAGCATAGATCTGTGATTTAAAACCCAAGAATTGTCTATTAAAATGAGATTGCAAGTATGCTAACGAAAGTTTAAGTGGAGTGTATTGCTCTAGCTAAATATAGAATACTGTGTTCAGGTCATTGTTCTAAATTTTGCCCGAGATAAATATTTTATACTAAATCTTGGCCAATTTTGGGATTCATTTCAGCTGCTGAAAGCTCTCTTTGGCACCAACCTCGCCAGTCAGTGGGAACCCAGCAAGCAGTCAGCGGCACCAATTCTGGCCGAAGTTTCAACTCGAGTCACTGCAGGCACCAGCCCGGGGCTCTACCACCACTGCCTCAACAGACCCTATGCCCAGCTGGCTCACTGCCTGGTGGCAGCTGCTTGCCGGGCCACTCTACCCGCAGACGAGGCACACAGGTGTGTGGGAGATGAAGATTCGGTTTTTTTTTCTTTCTTATTTCTGTTCTCCCCCTTTAGATATCAGGGATAGTTGATGTGTTTTTTAATCCACAATGTAGACAATTTTTGCACAATGACCTATTTTTCTGCTGGAACATTATGTCCATTGCCCAGTTATAGTTTTTTTTAGATGCTTTTATTTTAGTTAAGCAGATCAGAATTTCATTTTCTGTTTGGGATAAATCTCAAGTCATCCAGGTCAGCCCTCATGAGGACTTACTTTTCTTCCACCTGTAACTACAAAAGTGTCTTTTATGTCAGCAGCATGCACACTACACCCCTGTCCTTAACAGGGAACACTGATACTCGGTCGTTCCTAGCCCAGAATCAGAAGTATGAAATGCTTGGGAGAAAACCTCAAGATAGGCTCAGACAGAGCCTTGGGAAACTGTCGAATCATATAATTTGACATGAGAAGCATGTATTAGCAAATTCTCTTTGGAGGAGCGTTGATATAGTCTAGAGTTCCCATCTAAGTTCTTATTTGGAAGGTTTTTCCTATTGTTTAGTTTGTTTTCCTCTTCTTCACTCTTCGGAATTTTTCTTATTTTTTATATGAAATGAGTTGGGGGTTTTTAACACGAAGCCTGTATCTTCAAATAGTTTTTTTCTTTCCATTTTTATTATCTCAGATAGTTTTAACAATTGCAATTTTACATTTTCGGAGTGATTTTAGTTAGAGCATTTACATCATGTGAATGTGAATCTGTTGCCATGTAAAAAGATAAAAAAGTATTTAATTTTTAACTATCTCTCATTTTGTCATTATCCGTTTCCAGCTCTCTCTTGTGGTTGAAACAACGTGTGGATCGCAAACTACCGGCAATTCTGAAACCATCCAGCAAAGTTGACAAGGCGAGTAGAATCAACATATACAGTGCTTTCCTATCTTTTTGAGTACCATTAAGCAGAATCTTTGTCCACCTCCCACTCTGAAGAAATTAGCAGTTTTTACTTATTAATTTTAGCATGCTGGTTTTAGGTTAACAAATGATTTCAATATGATATTTAGAATGTACTTCATGATAGTATCTTCCTGTTTAATTTAGTTGTATCATTGTGAAGACTTCAGTAAGTATACAATTCTGTTACAAAAGAATAGTTATTTGCAGTTTATTGATGCTTCTCTTAGGGGTGGGATGATTCATACATAAAAATTTTAGTCACTCTTTATATGCTTCCCTGGCCCACATTTGGAGTCACAATCCTCAGCTTTCTCAGGCTTGATGTTTTCATGTGTAGGAAGTCCTTCTGGCACTGAATGATGAAGAGAATGTGGCCGAATGCTTTTCCTGTTGTGAGCCTCAACAGAGTCAACAGAGTGTTGATGCTACGTGAAGAGGTGTTTAAAGCTGAACATACTTGAAAGTGCCAGTTTGGACACAGATTAAGTAGTTGTTTGTTGTAATTTACAGTACATGTTTGTAGGTAATATAGGAGGCAGGCTGCTTCCACTCTCTCAGTTAGGGACAAGCTGAATTATGCAGTGTACAACCCTGCTGAAAGATGAGATTCTCTACAAAATATTTTTCTCACACGGGAATCAAATGCAGTTTTTTTTTAAATGTGCGAGGCAAGGAACTTATTCATTTAAAAATGTTGTGCTGGTAAACATGTATTTATACCCTTAAGTCTAGGGAATGGATGACACCAGCAGAATATTGATGTTTGAGTTTGAGTACCTTCTAATATGATTTCTTTGTTTTATTTTGTAGTCTGTAATTGGTTCGTACATTCGTCTCTTTGAGCCTTTGGTCATCAAGTCCCTGAAGCAGTACACAGTTACCTCAAGTCTAGAACTACAGGTATTTACTCATGCTAAAAAGTGACTCACTGGCGTCTCATATTGTATGTATATAGGTGCTTACTATACTCATTTTGTTTGCTGTTCATCAGAGCTTGTTTGAGTGTTGAATCTTCATATGAATATATTCCTCTTATCCGGGTTCGTTACTTCCAGCTTTAAATCAGTGCTTCCACTCTTCTGTATTTTTACGGAAATCCGTACTTTCTGCCAGTTCCGTACTTGTTCCTCCATCATTATCAACTCCCTCCGTAAAAAAAACTGCGACAGCACAGGACTGCCGAAATTCCGTTCTCGCGATCGTATCGTCTTGTATAAGTTATGGATATTTACGGTAATTCTCTCGGCAACAAGTTAAAGTTATAGAAACCTGCCAGATTGCGCATTTCTTACAATCGGCCATTATACCGCTATGTACCAGTCCCATGCATTCATTGCGGGTTGGTCGGCAGTACATTTTTTACCTGCAGATGGATCAAAATCTGGCGAACCTTTTGTGCCAATTTCCTCCTTTCTGTCATTCACTCATTCCTTCTGTCTATCTTCGGATTGTTGCCCCGGCTGGAAAATCTGCGCGTTGATAAAGTAAATTGACTTGTGATCTCAGAAAATTACTGTCAGAAAGACACTTTTTGCGAAAATTTGTCTAGATCTAGAGAAATTATCAATGTGAAGATTCTACGGCACGTGAACGCAATATCAGGGGCCGCGATGAAAGAATGCTAATACGGGCGTGCCCACTACGGATGGGATCGGCCGATCGCGCTGATCGCCCGACTCGGTCGCCTCAAAAACAAACGTTTTCAGTTTCAGGCGATCAAGTCGGGCGATCGGCCTGATCCAGCTGCAGGTAAAATCAAGAATAATTTGAAGTGGTGTTCCGAGGTTGTGACAGGCGACATTCAGACGTGAAAATTGAGAGAAAAAATTGGGTATACGCTGCGCAATTGTATTTTGAAGGTACATCTTTTCATTATTCCCAGGTTTGCCTGCCATCGATGGTGCGACGACAAATTAATTTAATTATAGTAGCAATGAAAGGGGAACCTGCTTTTAAACATTGCCAGCAAATGAAAGATATGTTGGTGAAGAAATCAAACAAGACAAAATGTTGGTGAAAAAATAAATGTTATGGGCTCTAGGCAATCTCTTCAAACAGGTTCCCAAAGGCCATTTTCAACCCTTTAAAAGCACTAAATTTCCATTTTTTCGGGGGCTTCGCCTCCTGAACCCCCACCGGGACGCTGTCCCTGGACCCTGCTGGGCCCCCAGACCCCCTGCTGAATTTTCCTTTCTTTTCAGCTTCAGCTGGTGGAAACACTGTTAAATAACCGCCTAAGGAAATTGGACCATACTTCTCTGATTGTTTACCCCATAGTGTAGCCTCACACCTTTCCCCTGAAAGTTTCATCACAAATACTTGTTGTATTTTGTAATAAAAGATAATTTATCATGCACATTACAGTAACAGTGCTCTAATTCCTAATAATCATGCATAATAAATGGATTATACACTTTTATCCATTTGTTAACATCCACTTGCTTTGCAAATGCTGAAAACAGCCAGAGTAGCTCATACTGTAACTGCTATACACAATGATGACTATTAACATTCCATCCTTGGCTGCTGTTTATTTTGTGTATGTTCCTTTTATTGTCTGATTCAGTGCCAAGTGCTTGCCCTGCTAGCTCAGCTCATTCAACTGAGGGTGAACTATTGCTTGCTGGACTCTGACCAGATCTTCATTGGCTTTGTACTGAAACAGTTTGAGTACATTGAAGAAGGGCAAATAAGGTAGGAGAGCATTGACTTTTTATAATGTCATCATCCTTGTCTCGGTCCTCTTCAAACTAGAGAGTGTTTAAGTCAGATGTGTTTATTTGTATGATTGACACTGTCACTTGCCCATTTCCAGCCTGCATCATGTTCAGAGTATGTCCATTCTCTCCTTCATTGGCAGACAGTGGCTTGTTAATCAACTGAGTGCTTTTTACAGTTAATTATAGTAGTGTAAGTTTACTTAATTTTGCTGTTTTCTGATGAACATAGGATTTCCTTTAAAAAAAATGTGTTTACAGTTATATAGGAGGAGGGAGGGCACCTGAAAATTAGGATTTGGTGGGTACAATTTGTTGCATTTTTTTTTTCAATTTCTTGGGTACATTAAGCCCATTTTTGTTTACAAATTTTTGCTCTACATGGACAATAGTGAAATGTTTCCAACATCTGTGAACAGAAAATGGTGGATAAGTATAGAACTGATTGTGTAATTCTTTGCTTTTTGGCACAAGGACATTTTGTTTTGGTATAAAAACCTTCTTGAGGCCAAATTTCATGCTGAAAAAAATGGGAGATAAATTGTGAAATTTGGTAGAATATCAGCTATTGGCAATGTGACCTCTTTAATTCTTGTCCTTCATAATTTCATATTTGATCAGAGCATTGTCAGCTCTTTTAGCCTGGGCTAATGCCTGTTTTATTTGACTTTACAGGAACTCTGAGCTTCTCATCCCGCACATCTTTCAATTCCTTGTTATGCTGTCATATGAGAAGTTCCATAGCAAGTCCATCATTGACATGCCACGGATCATCCACCGCTGTGACGGGATTATGGCTAGCGGCTTGCAGCCCACTACTCACGGTAACACAGTCTCAGTGATTATAATATCAGCGAAAGATAAAACAGGTTTTAGTGTCTCTGTGCATATTGTCCATTTTGAACATTCAAACTATCTGAAACTTTGGTTTTCTCAGAAATGCATTTCTGCCTAATGTGGGGAAAGCAATTCAGTTTGCTATCTGAAAGGGTTTACCAAAGAAAGTATGTGTTTTGTAATCCCCTTCACCTATTATGTCGTGATGCAAATGCTGACAACAGTTATCATTAAATAAAGAAGGAGAACACCAGAGAAAGATGGTGGGAGGATGGTTGCAGCTGTAGCTGGGTACTAGAGATTCTTTCAACGTGGTACAGTAGGTTCTTTTCCTCACCCAAATTTAATTTGTTCTTTTTGACTGACATAAAGAGGTGAACTCTGACATTTAGACAAATTGGAAGACAAGGTCCTAACAGCATATTGCATCAAGTGTAATTTCAAGAATCATAATCAGTGACAAATGGGGGTTGATTTAAAAGTAAAATGGAAATTTATCTAAAACAAAGTTGGTCATATATTTTACCACCCTGGACTAGTTTCATTATGTTCGTCTCACAGCCATCCCAGCATTACGACCTGTGGTGTACGAGCTGTTCCTGTTACGTGGTACTGTCAAGTCTGAGGTAGGCAAGGACCTGGAGACCCAGAGAGAGGTTGTTGTCTCCATGCTGCTGCGACTGGTACAGTACTATCAGGTGGGTGGTCAGGGTGTGGGCGTTTTTTTAGAAGGCTCTTGTTTTAGAAATACTGCTCCCCAGTGGCTGCATTCTAATAGGTCATGTCACTTGGCATTGCTTGAAATTTTTGTGTGACCCAGTTCGAGACCCTAACTATTTTTAGTTTATGGATGTTCAGGTGTGGTTAGCTCCTCCTTTTTCAATTCAACTACCTTCATGCGTTGCACGACTAATTCTCAGAGAATTACAACTCATTGTACTCATGTCCCCAGGCTGTAGACATGTTTGTGCTGGTGTTACAGCAGTGCCACAGGGAGAGTGAGGAGCGCTGGAAACGACTCTCGCGTCAGGTCATGGACGTTGTCCTTCCTGCTCTTGCAAAGCAAACGGTCAGTATCTCTCAAAACTGGACAAATGAGGCAGGAAGTAGTCAAAGATTTTTTTTCTTTTTTCTTTTTTGAATTTTTTGACTGAATCTATAATCACATGCTCAGTTCCCTTACCACAAATAAGAGAACAAAATTCTTAAAAGACTTGAGTTGCAGTCATTGAATCTACCAAGCAGACTGGTGTGTGTGTGCTTTTCATGCATCCTTACCATAATTGATGTTGGATAGATTGCTTCTGGGATCTTTTTCGGCAGGTGATTTTCTTGTTGCTCTAGAACTGGCCCACAGTGTCTCTAAGTTTTTAAGAGTTGTTTATTTTGAAAAAAATGGATTGTTGGAGATTGTCCAAAGTAGATTCTACTTCTTGACTATACTTCTTTTGTTTCCCTTTGCTTTTCTTTTACCGTGCCCTGAACAACATATCATATTTATGTGCCTTTCTTTATAAATAATCTGGTAGAAAATGTGTCCTAATGATCAGGTGTTTCACATGTGAAGTCTTTTATAACAATGAATGCATATATTTTATTATGACATTCCAATTATTTATGATTATCCAATATAATTGTGCAGTGTTTCTAATCATTTGTAGTAAATTTTTGTCTTTTTTTAATTGACATTTAGATGAACCTATGCAGCCAAGAATCTCTGGATGTGCTTCATCGTTTGTTTGAATCTGTGTCGCCGAGTGTGTTTCGTCCTGTAGACACCTTGCTCAAGACTTTGCTGGCACCTCCTCATGACATAGTAAGCTTTTATTTATTTGGTAATTGATAGAGTGAGACGCTCAAGGCACAATTATCAGATGCATGGTTGAAGAGAAAAGCATATACAAAGTTTGAGTGTTAGGCGGAAAGAGAAATCAACTGAAGTATGAAAAGATGTGAGAGGAAGTTTTTAACTAGACATAAAAAGAATGTTTGTATTGTTTGGGCCTAACCTCCTCTAACTTTAAATAATACATTCAAACATCAATGTGAAGATTTTATTGTTAAGACATATAAGAATTCTTGCTAAAATGTAGCTGTTTGTGTAGAGACACTTTGTTAAACAGCCATTATGAAGTGGTGTATAAGCATCTGTGGTTTAACTGTTGTCTTGCCCCAATCTCCTTCTTAGAGCACAGTGCAGAGTCTGCAGAAGTGGATGTGTCTTGTCCTGACTATAGTGAGAGTTCTCATCTCCCAGTCCAAGGAAGATGTCATCCTCTCAAGACTCTCTGAGCTGCAGGTACTGCTTATTGATTTATGTGAATGAGGCTTGTACTTTTTGTAGTAAAGTTCACTGATATTGTGCTTGGTAAAGACTCTCTGCATATCGTTTTCTGTTAGCATAAATCATCTAACTCTGGATTTCCCTCCGATACTTTTATGCTTTAATTAGTAAGGAAACCATATTGAACACCTTGTCTATTTATATCCCAGCCACCGTACCAATGAGTGAATAATTACAAATGTGTCAAACAGCAAAGTAATCAAAGCATCTATGTATTGCCACTAGTATCGAGAAAGTAACTTTAAAAAAATTCTATAGAAAATGTACCAAAACGATTGATATATCCTTGAATGCCAACTGCAAAATTTAATAAAAGGGCCAAATATTTTGTGAATGTGAAACCAGTGTAGTTTGCAAAGATAATTGATTTTTTAGGTTCACGCCATGCTACTGTGGAACTCACAGGTCTCTTATTTGTCTTATTGTTGTGCTAATGAAGATCTTTTTTGTGTGTCCTGCCTTATTCATTTCTTAAATGTAAAGTATTTGTATTTCCCTTTTGACAGCTGCATGTATGTCTGATTCGTGATGTTGACAACACTGACAGTGCAGCTACCAGCTCCATGATTGAAGTGTTAAAGAACTTGGCACCCGAGGAAACGCTGGCCTGGTGAGTGAGAGAGGGATGTTGAAGAGTGAGACTATTTATCAGTTTGATTTTCTGAAGGGGAGTTTTATTTGAAATTGAAATTAAAGAAATTAAAGATCATGATAATTGCCAATGAAAATGTTTGTGAGGACGGTATTTTATCCAGCGTTTACTCCACACAACTGGGATAGGAAAAGCCCCAGAACACTCCAATATCTTGAAACCTATATCGCTTGCAGATTGTCACACATTTTATCCTTTCTTTTGGTCATTGAGACATTCAGTGCAGCGGGAGTCATTGCACCATGCTAATGAGATATTAACATAGGTAATCAGTCATTGTTGTCTGTGGTGCTATAATAACATCAGAACCAGGCTTTTGTTGTCAGTAGTGAGTGAAGGAATGCAATGGTTGCTTCTCTTTTGTTCATACTTTTATGATATGCGACTTACAACACAAAAGCTTAAAGCATAAACTAATTTGAATAGGAAGTTTCATTTAAATGGTTGAAGTTCATCGTAGAATTGTCAAAATTTTGAATGAGAGCGCTAGTGATAAGCAAGTTATAGTATATTAGTATTGAAAGTTATTTTGAAAATTCAGCAATCATTTGCATGTTCCCCCTCCCCCTTCTTTTCCTCAGGTACTTGCTGCAGGTGATAGGCAAGTGTTCTGAGATGTTGGACAAAGAGACTGCTCTGCTTAGCTCGGCCGGTGGTGGGGGAGCTGGAGGATCATCTGGAGATGGAGAAAGTCGCTACCACTTTCTGCTTCAGCAGACTCTGCACCTTCTACTGTACATCACACACATGTTCCAGTCAGGTATGACTTGATGCCAGGACCTTTTTTTTTCATTTATTTTACAAATACTAATTAGCTGTCGACTCAGCTTTTTGATGGTATCTGCTCCTTCTACTTCTTTTGGGTGTCACTATTTTCTTAAGTTGGTCTCTGGGAAATAAGGCCACTATCGTGTCAACTTTGTGTTTATTAGTATTGCACAGCAATGTATCACGCATTATTATGATCTAGTCAGCTGTCATGGAATGCATTGATATTTTTTGAAGTCTTACATTTATTGTTCTATAAAATATACAATGTAATGCCTTTTTAAAGAATAGAAACTTTCCTCTGTGTCTTTTATCCTAATAAAGCTGATTGTTGAATGTCTTTGCCTGCAAGTCACATAGTGGATTAAAAATATTCTACAGCTGAACCTTAAGTTGTATAAGTTGTAGAATGCATGTTGTTACTTGCAGTGCAATGTGCGTATGGTACAAGGGAAATGTTGCTTATTCATTTGTGTAAAATTTGAGAATAAAATTGTGGAACATAAAGTGCATCATTAAACACTTACAACTATGAGAGCAATAGAGATCTTACACTGTTATTTAATTAAAACATGCTGTGCTAAAGAGACCCAGTCACTTTAAAAGCCCACTTTTACCATGTTGAAATCATCACGTTAAAACAAAGTCACGCTCAAAAATGTTTTTGTGTTTTTTACTCAGGTTTGTTCCGCCGGGTGGTGACAGCAGCAATGCGCCTGCTCCAACTGGAGTCTCCCGCGTGTGTGTATAGTGTGCGTCAAATCAACCAGCACATGGTGGCTGTCAGCAGCGTGTGCCCCACCCTCACCTTACACTGGTGCTATGTGCTCATCTTACTCAACTTTGACGACCGCAGCCTGTGGAGCACGGTTGTCCAGACCCCTCCGACGTACAAAGTTATGGCTCACAGGTCTGTACCTTAGGATTGCAATACCAAGCGGGCACAATGTTGGTGCAAGTGGGATGTGGCACAGGATTCTAGCGTTTTTTTGGGTTTTTTTAATGTAGAGTCCAGAGAGAGTTTTAAGGCTGGCTTTAATTATACCCTGTACTATCAAAGATATAGATGAATTGCAATGGCCAGTATTTGATTAAGCCTAAGCAATGTTGAAAAGGAAATACAATTTTGATTCTTACGCATTGAATTACAATAAGTGATTTTTACCGATATATCGTTGATTGCAAGTTACCTTTACTACCCAGTACTCTATTTTAGGTTTCTTATATGTCAATTAACTGTCTCTTGTCCAGGAAATTGTGTTTACACCAGTTTTCTTCTTTTAATTTTGTAAGACTTCCACACTCTGCCCTTCCTTTTACTTGTTGCCCTCAGTTGAGAGTCTAGATACTCATAGTCAGTTCACTGTCTGGATAATGATTGGATCAATTTGCTTTTAGAGTGCTCATACTTTTCTTATGAGCTGAATAAAGCTGCCAAGCATTATTAAAAGATTTGCAATGTAATCTGAAGAAAAAAAAATTGTCATGAGCTCTCTGTTAACTTCTTTAACTCACTTTAATGTTAAGGCTTTCAGGAAATAGATCTGTCCGTATAATATAACGTTTCTTTCTGCCCAGGAGCCACCAATACTCTCAGAGCACAGAGGACCATGATGCAACACTGACCCCACAACAGAGGTCATCTCAGTGCTGTGGCCTTGAGATGTTGAGACGTGGGGGCCTCATTCTCTTTTGTGACTATGTTGTGAGTAATGAACTACTTTTGGGGATGCCAGCTATGGTTTTAAGACACCCCCTTTCCTTTCGGTCAGACAATTGTTGAGACAGGATATTTGGTTTAGAAAGTATTACAACAGGAAAATGTTACTTTAAACCCTTTCTTTATACTTCGATAATTTCTTTCACAGGCTTTTCAATGAATGAAGTGGAGAAAAAAAAAGCTATTGTGAAATGTAATTACTAAGTGCGGTTTTTATATCCCTGGGTTTGGGATTTTAACACATTACACCCTAACTCGCCCGGGATCGCCCGCGAATTCCCTTACGCGCTCCACCCTGACTCGCCCGGAACCGCCCGCGCCGACCCAAACGTCTTTAGAAACGAAAGTCTCGCCTTGACGAGACTCTGGGGCCGGGATTTTGATTTGCATAGTATAGCAAAAAGTTTCTTCTTTCGTTTGATACCGAAACGAAATTTTTCGGGCTAGTAGTTTTAGTATTAGAGCTGATCGAAGTGCGATCGCGTTACCGACACTTCGAAAGTGCCTCGACTTGTTGAAAAGCGACACAATTGAGTTCGAAAACGGAAATAACGATGGATTTGAGCAAAAAGGAGCATGTGACAAATCAGATGGCTCAGATTTTGATGAAAACGTTGTAGGAAGAGTTTGGGGCGATTCCGATTGATCAGACGGAGAAATTATAGAATTTAGATATAGGCCCGACCGCGAGGCTGAGAGTGAGAGTGACGGGTCGGACACCCCGATTGAACTAAAGTGAGAACATTTCCAACAGTTTGCGCATACATAAAGTTATATTTTTCTGAAACTGCATTCAGTTTTCTTTTTAACTTTTATTTTTTCAGGATTTTTGGAATTTGTTTAGTATTTTTAAAATATGTTTTTTATAGGCTAGTATTCAGGGGAGGTAGGTTCTTTCCCCTTGCTTAGGATCTAACAATGGACTTCCCGTCCAGGCCCTTAGGGTGGAATGTGTTAAGAAACATACATCGACAGTTCCTGTAGCCCTTCTCTTTTACATTTCCAGTGTGAGAACCTGAGTGATGCAGAGCACATGACCTGGCTCATCATAAACCATGTGAGTGACCTCATCTTACTGTCACAGGAGTCGCCAGTCCAGGACTTCATCGGGTGAGTTCTTTTTGTCTTTTCTACAGTTGTTCATGAAAAGAATGCCAATTTGATCAGAAAACTATTGACAATGTGCTTGCTACAGATTTTCTTCTTTCCCAAGCTCATTCATATCCCGGCTAAGAAAGTACTTACTTTTTTATGCATCTTATTTGGGGCAACTCTTTCTGATACTGCTTTTGTGCACAAATTGAATGGGTTTTTTTCATCTCTTGCTCATGTTTTTTGCTTTATGATGAAGTCCCTTCATGTTTATTTGTCATCCATTTCACTTTTTCCTTTTATTGTTTGGGAGTCCAACATACGACAAACATTTCAAAACTGAGGACCTTCAATCAAATTAATAAATAAAGCACACAGGACACACTCACTCATATGTATAATATCGAAATGACACATCTCTGGTCTTCACTTTCCATCATTTATGTTCTCAGTCTTTTTGTAAGTGCACCTGTAGGCTAATAACTAATGTTCTGGTTTCAGGGCCATCCATAGGAACCCAGCTGCCAGCAGTTTGTTCATCCAGGCTATACATGCTCGTGGGGACAGCATTACAAAGGTATTCAACTCTGAAAAATGATTTGTGATTGTAGGAAGTGTCAAGGACTGTTCAAGTCTTCATCATTTCTATTGAAATTTAATTTTTAAAATCATGGTCAAAGAACTGCCATGAATGTACAATGCAGGAATAGGTTTTGCAGGTATCAATCATAGACATCATAATGATGAATTAAAGAGATTTTTAGAAATGTTATGAGATAATCGCTTGGTAGTAAAAAGAATGTTAATGAAGCCAGACAGTGGAAAGGGTTTGGAGTGACAAAATTGACAAGCTGGAGAGTGGGAGGAATTCCACAGAGAATTGAAAGTGCCACTTTGCTCTGGTATGCCCCTGTGTACAAATTTTAGCTTGAGAATTTTAAAATACATTTGGGTGGAGGAAACCATGCCTGGCCAATTCACTTGGTTGGAGAAGATCTCAATTTTATATGTTTTAGGGCTTGGTCTAATGATTATGATGATGGATGATGTAGGTTTTGTGTAATGGCTGCCATTAATATAAGAATGAATGCATCCTCAATTCAAATTAATACATCTTTTTGCAGCCACATCTGGTTAAACGGACTCTTCGCTGTTTAGAAGCAGTTCACAGCTCTCAAAGTGGTTCACTTGTGGCATTGCTAGTGGACACGTTCTTGGGCAGCCACCAGCTGGCCATTGCTCGACTGACAGATGCCATAGTGTGTCATCGCTTGGAGACCTTACTTGGGGAGACAGCTGGGGTGAGCACACCTTTCTTGCTCTTTCTGCACTCTCTCAATAGGTCTCAGGGATTCTTCAAACCTTTGTGCAACTAATTTTTACGTTATTTGTCATATTGATTAAAATTGGTTGTTTTTTCTCTTGGTAAGTTCCCTTCAAAATTAAGTCAGGCTATGCAATCATATCAAGTTTTATGACTGAGATGACCAATTTCATTGTAGTATATCCTGTTTGCTGTATTGGATTTCTTTCTGAAGTAAGATTGGAAAACAAAAGAATTATGTTTTTGGAAAAAAAATTTAATTGTTTTATAATGTATTTTGGTAGCCATGACTTCTGATATATTTTTATTTTTCAGGAAATCACTAAACAGTTACCAAAGGAAGACATAGAAAAGCTCCTTCAGTTTATGAAGTCAAAAGGATTGATACAAAGGTATGTCCAAAGCCAAATGAGACCACTAACGCATGCAACTGTGAATAAATAGAATGTGATTCCTATAAAACAGAGTGAAAGTTTAAAAATAAAAATTTACATAATTTATTCATCTGTTAGATGCTGACACATCATTTCTTAATCTCTCAGTATATTTCAAAATGTTTTTGACAGTTACGTTACCACACTGCTGTATATATAGCACTTCACATTCAGAGAATGTCATTTCATTTGTTTTTTCTTATTTACACATGTGTCTGCAATGTTAAATAATAATAGATAGCATTTGTGTAACGCTAATCCCCGCTCAACAGCAAGCTCTATGTGCTTCACAATCTATAATATTACCCCAGCAGACCTGAGATATGTTCAGATCAAATGTCTCAAGATTATAAAATCTTTATTGACCACAGGTAAATGGCTAAAGTGCAGTGACAGCACATGTCTGTTCTTTTAGAATGTATTCTTATGTTCCACTATAAATGGTCATAACTTTTCAAGTTGGCCCAAAAAATGATGGAAGTTTGAGGATCAGGTTCCTTAATCATTGCTGTATTGGAAGAGGCATTTATACCTGCACCATACGTTGTTATAGCCAGCTATAAAGGAATGCAGGGAAAAAAAATTAATCGTATTTTGGCAAGCTGACCAGGGTAGCTACAGATATTTCAAGGGACTTTTTTCTTTGTTTTTGTTGTTGTCTTGCACATATACTGTAGTTACTTAATACTTGACCTGGCTTAGTTTGGATAGTTAGATGCAAATGGGTATTGATGCTTTGCAAAGATCTACATTTCCCCATACCTGTTTTTGGGTATCGAAGATCAAAGGTCTTCCTTCCCCCCCCCCCTCCCCAAAGCCTTCAGTATTTGAGTTGAATGCCATAATTGTGACACTTTATAATATTTTGTGTATAAAGTAAACAAAGACAAATGACATTGCATCTTCCCCCTTGATCTTTTCCAGACACCAGAGGCTGACATCTTTGTTAAGCAAACTGGGAACTGCAGCGGGCTCTACCTCTCAGGTCCGACTGTCCCCCGAGCGATCTAACCCCCTGAGTGGCCCTGTCACGAATGTGGCCAATGTTACCATTGACAAGGTGAGTCCTAGTGTTGTTCACTGGGATGGGAACTCTCAAGATTTTTCGGTACATGCTGTTTTTCAGGATTACGGAAATAAAAATGTTGAAATTTTAGAATGGATGTCAATATTTCGTGTAAAAAAGTATGCATCGTATTATTTTATGTTTTTGTTTTGATATTGGTGCTTTAAGAAATTTTGTTTGTCGCATACAAGTAGCAGACACATGCTTTAGAATTGAGTTTGAGGTTGGAACTGCTGGCAGGTACTGGAAGTTTTCAAATGTAAAACTTTTTTTAGGGCTTTGTCCTGGCTCACATGAAGTCTAGTTTTTTAAATAGCCTTTCAGTCTTATCAGAGAACTCCGTGGGTAGCTGGTTTGTGGGAAAAATAACTTGTGCGGAGGTGAAGGGAGCAAACACCTTATTGCAGCGAAAGATCTTGTCAGTATGTTAGTATTGTAGTGCCCATAAATGGCAGCTTGCTCTGTATGCTTCCCAGGAAGTTGAGTTTGTTTCAAAATGCTCTCAGCTCTGTTGGGGTAATAGTATAGATTGTGAAGCACATAGAGCTTGCTGTTGAGCTGGGGTATGCGCTATACAAATGCTATCTATTATTATTAAAGGCAGGGCTAAATTCATTTTACGACAATAGACATCAGTTTACTTGGTTTGTTATTTTTTTTTCTTCTCACATTTAGGAGTTTTACTTGGCGGTGGTGAAAGAGCAGTGTTTCCAAGCCAGTCCCAACATCAGGGAATGTGCCTTCCTATTGCAACGACTAGAGTACCCAGATATTCTTTCTATCACAATGACGTCGGTGAGTTTAATGTCTTTGTTGCCATGTTTTATTTGTAAATTGTGAGTTAAAAAGAAATTGAAACTGAAAGTTACTGCTTTATTGAAAAACTCTTTTTCTTGTCTTAGCTTCAGAAACTCATTTGTTTTGTGGAAGAATTGTGATTTGCAGTGTTAAGTCTGGTCTTTTTTTTCCTCCTATTTGTCTTTTTTCTCCTGAATGATTTTGAGCGTGTATCATTTTAAATGTGTATATGACTCTGCGAGTACTGTGCATTTGTTATGCCAAACAAAAATGGAGGAAAAACTAGGGTCATCTCTAGCTCTCTGTCTGATTTTTTCATCTGAGATGCATAAATGTTTATAGCTTTATTAACCAATGAAATCTGTCTCCAAGATGATGAGTGACAGAACCTTATTGTAATCTTATCTACTCCCTATTTATTTTATAACTGTTGTTCCATCTGTTCTTTGTTCAATATAGCCGATATACTGATTTTTTCATTTTAAAAAAAAATGGACTCAACTCTTTTTCTCTGTCTGTACAGGAGTTTAATCTGTCTGTGCTAGAAGAGTGCATGTCGCTCGGTGCGTTCCGCTCCGTTCTGAGGTACAATCGTGATGCGGAGGCCGGCACACTAAGTCCCTTGGCTGCCCCTGGAGAGCGCATCATGGACCCTCTGTTTTTAGCCTCGGAGTTGACACTGTTCAGGCATATCAACAATGTGGTGAATCAACTGCCCACCCCACATCAGTGCCTGTCTTTCACAGGTGAGCATCTTTTCTCTTTATTTTTCCTAGATTTAGTGTATATTTCTGTAATAGATGTGCAGGAAACATACGAGTGAAAATAAACCAGAGACAACAGAAATGTAGTTTGTAAGGAGATTATTGAAAATTTCGTGGTTTTAAAGTGCTGAAAGAAGTCAACATCAGATAGTCATTAATAAAGACAGCTATAAAAAAGCATGTGCAACTCAAGTTTGTCTTACATCTTGTTGCTAGTGCTTTTTTTTCCTGTTTTTGACTGGTTCCCCCTTCACTTATTCAAGATTGTTTTGATTGTTTCAAGAACTGCGTACTATGTTAAAAGAATAATCCTAGCAGAGAAACAGGGTGTTTTGATTTGTATGCTGTTTTATATTTCATTGTTACACAAATTTCCAACAAATTCAAATACACATGATATGTTTTTTATTATTGATTTTAAAAATTATTATATTCAATCTGAAGTAAAATTGTTGGTGTAACTGGAGAGAGAACTTTGTGCAATGAAGCTATGCTCTACCATTTCCCCAGACTGTGGCCCGGCCTCGAGCTTACACTACATGGACCGTATGGAGGAGCTGTTCACTGATGCTGCCTGGGTTCACGCCAACTTTAACCTGGCTGCTGCCCTGGTGCGACACCTGGTGGCGCTGAGTCACTTCCCGTGGCGGGCAGAGCTGCCGGCTGATTCCCACCATGATGTGGCACGGTTTGCTGTGTTGTGTGCAGAGGTGAGGCTTGAAGATAGGTTGGGCACTATGCTCTATTTCCAGTTTGAAGAAATTCTGTCATTTAGTTTCACAGACTAAAGCTTATGATTAACTATCTTAGACCTTAAACCTTGCAATGTTTCACACTGTAACTTAGACTTTTAATTGTGAGTGATTTGTGGATGCTCTGGTGTGGTTGCCCCTTCTTTTCTATTAAATATCAGTCATCCTTGTCTCTTCTTCTTTTCTTTGTATGTTACTCTCTAGTAATGCCTCGAATTTTCAGCACTTATGTGACCTATTCGCATTTCAAGTGCTGTTTAAACTCGTACTTAAACAAAATTAAACTTTAATTGCGAATATCCTTCTTGTTCAAAATGGAATCAAAAGGTGTCGCAGTGCAAAGTACTTGTATAGACTTTGAAAAAGATTATTTTTCAGCTAATTTTATTTTGGAGGCTTTTGAATGATTTTGCAGTGATTTTTACAAGAACACGGAATGGTGAATTGAAACCACCAAGTGAAATTTGTTTCTTTGCCCCCTCCCTTTTCCGTTCTCTTTCCCAGCTAATCCACTGGTCATTGCGGCATGAGCTGATGCCAGAGTCTGAGCAGATCCAGACTTGTCTGAGTTGCCTGTCCCTGCTTCTGCAGGATGGAAAGTTACATAGTCAGCTGGGCCAAATAGAGAACGCAAGCTGTGTGTGTGCAATTGTTGCAGCCTTGTATCAGGTTCTTTCTTCATGTGAGTGCCGAGATGCTTGACTTACTCTCAAACATTTGTACCGATAGAATAGCTCTCGTGACTGGGAATTTTATGAATTGTTGTATTGAAGATGATGTTTTTGCAAGAAAAATAAAGGAAAAATACTTTGATTAATTTGAAGCTTTTATGAAAGCAACTTCATCTCAAGTGCAAATAAAGCTTCTCATCCCTTTGATGATATGCGTTAAAGGGGTACATGAATATAGTGGCATGTCTATTAATCATATCATTATATTTCAATGATTTTAATGTGCAATGTCCCTGAAGCAATGAATGTTTCCCTTCTTGGCAGTGGCTGTCCTCCCTGGAGAGCAGGTGGCAAATTTGTATCATGATGAGCACAGAGAGGAAGCAGAGGAAGATGATGGTGAGCTTTGATATTGGCATGTTAAGATTTTTTTCCCTCTAAAGCAGTACTACAGGCCTGTCTTATTTGTGAATACAATTTTGACAGACTGAGGGAATTTGGTTTCACAATTTAGTTGTTTTTATACTCATGTTGACAGTGACTTTGCACAGGAAGCTTAAATTTTCAGTAATGAATATGTTGTCTATGTCTCAAGTGACCTTACATTACCACAAGCATTTCAAGTTAAACCGAGTCATAAATCTTTTTGATTTGAGAGCCTCCAGGCAGAGGCAAACATACCATCACTCACACTCAGACGCGCACAACTCTCACTACAATACGCAATTAAACAGAGCTGAACATCAGAGAACCCAGCACACGAGTACATTTTTAAAACAAACCTAGAAACCATAAACAAATTCCAAAACAACGAAAATCTCATCAAACCCTTCGGCCTCAGTCTTTCAGGACCTTAAAAACATACAATTTTCCAAGAAGACATCCAACAATTTCTTTTCCGCGACCTCCCTCAGTGGCAACTCACCAAGGCAAAAGTAGACTTACAGCTGACCGACCACACACGACAAAGCAAACACAAACACCAAAACGTTTAAAGCAAAATACAAAAAAACTTATAGAAAAATACCCCGGTGCGGAGAAACAGGACTGGTGTGGGTGCCGCAGGCCTATCTTCAAACAGTACACACCAGAGGAGACTCCATCCCGAAGCCTCCATTTTCTCTGCCGAGGCCATTGCCATTGACATGGCACTGGACTCCGTAGAAAATTCTCCTAACAAATCTTTCCTTATCCTTTATGACTCTGTCTTGCATCACCTCACTCACAAACTACACGCTCCTACACCCAAAAATAGTCAGGCTGCAACAGAAAATACACACCTTGACTGAAACAGGGAAAAGTATTGTGTTCGCATGGATACCTAGCCATGTGGGCGTCCAAGAAAATGAGCAGGTAGATGACCTGGCGAAGATCTCCTTATCCCTTCTGTTGGGATCAACGACGAACACTCTCCCACCAACTGACTTTAAAAATAAAGTAAAAAAGTACACCTCCAGTCTGTGGGAGAGCCATTTGAAAAAACAAATGAATAACAAACTTCACAATATTAAACCCAAACTGGGACCGCGAAATCCTTCGGGCCTCTCCAGAAGAGAGGAAGTCATTTTTACTCGATTACGCATCGGACACACGGCCCTAACACACAAATACCTCCTTCAGGGAGAAGATGCGACACAGATTTTAGACACATTTCAACCGAATGTCTAGACTTCAGAGAGACCCGAAGGAAATACTTTAAATGCAAAAAATTGAAAGATATTTTTTCCTTCGTTGTTCCCAACAGAATTTGAGATTTTATTAAGGCCATTGGCCTTTATGGGAAGTTATAAAAATAGATTGTTTGAAATTTTAAAGTGTTATTTAGAAAGTTGTTTTATATTTAAAATCTATTTACACTCGATTTTTGTCGTAAAAAAATTTTTAATTAGAAATATTGACAAGAATCAGGCAGAGCAGTGAGCTATTGAGAAAAAACCAACTTGTTTCGCGGGCTCATATGACCTTATGCAGTTGCGAGCGCCGTAAAACCCAGTACTAAACATAACTTACCAATATTTATGCATATAGTTACTATCACTTGCAGACCTGTCAGGATGAAGGAACATTTGCATATGTTTTTAAACCATGAAAAGGACCTTCCGACCTGGTAGGGAGGAAAACATTAATCCTTTGACAGGTTTCTGCTGCAGACAAGTTTACCGTTGTAGGTGAAGGTAAAGATTGGAAGTTTGGGACAGGGATATCTATGGGGGTGTCATGTTGTAAGTTGACAACAAATTTATCGTTTGGGTTTGCTAAACTTGTGGGAGCGAGTGGTGAGCGGGTACTCTAGTGTGGTTTGCTCCTTTTTCTATCAAACATCGATCGTCCTTATATGTCCTCCCTTTTGTGTTTCTTACTCTCTCTTTTAACACCCCTAATCTTTGGCACTTATATGACCTTATTGTGTTGCCATAAAGCCCTTACTTTAAAAAAATAAAAACTTGTGGGAAGGACTATTTAACTGTATGAGAGTGAAGTTTTGTATGGCATTAGAATGTGAAGTTTCTGACTTCTGGATGGTCGATGCCTTTATCTGGTTTCAAGACTCGGCAGCCAGTTTTTGTGCTTTCAATCTGCGAAGGGCTACTTTTTTCATGTATTCTTTGGGAATCAGTGCTGATTCTAATTGCATGCGGAGGGAAGAGGTTCCACCTGGCAGGTTTGACAGTATTGAGGCTACTTCTTAATTCAAGTTTTGTCATATCATTTTCTTCAAATGTTTCATGAGGTCAGTTGTGGTCCATATTTCTGTCTGAGCCTATGACAAGCTGTATTACTCTTTATAGAATTATAGAGAATGCATGTGACACGGAAAGTACGTGCCTGAAATAGTTTGGCATAATACCTGGAGGATTATGAATAGTCCTAATGATAGATGCCCGTTTAATGAGCAGAGGATTATAATCCAAAGCTATCTTATTCATTGTCATACTCTTTTTTTTCCTTAGATATTTTTAAAGTCGCTTTTGCTTTTTTTGCTCTCATCCTTTTTTCTCATGACAATTTGTTTTTTCCCCCTTTTCAGTTTCACTGTCTGCCTGTCTGGTTCGTGCCTGTGAGCAGATCTCAGAGCTTGTGCATTGCCTACACACCCGAATGGACCCCAGCTACACCAAAGAACCGCGACTGCCACCTTTCTTAGCTTCATCCTTCCGCAACATTGTCATATGTGAGTAGTTCTTTTCTTTCTTACTGGCTTTTTTTTTTTCAGCTGCAGATTTGTCCATATTATTCTTCTTATTTTCAAATCGTTTTCACCCGCAAATCTACTTCAGTGTGATCTTTCTCCCATGTGCTGTTGATTGTTGATGGAGGGAGAAACTTACTTGTTTGTCTATGTTTGCATTGCGCCATATAGGCTAGAGCTTAGTGCTTTTTTACAGATTATTTTTCAGGTCAGTGAAGAAGAGCAATTAAGAGAAAGGTAGTTTTCAGGTTTCATTCATGTTTTTAATCTTTTTCTGTGTGTTCAGCTGTGTCAAGACTGCCGGTGGTCAACACGTATGCCCGCACTCCACCTCTAGTCTGGCGTCTGGGCTGGTCCCCGACCCCAGGTGGTGAACTCCGTACCTGTTTACCTCCCCTCCCTGTGGAGTACCTGCAAGAAAAGGATGTCTTACGAGAGTTTGTGGCACGAATAAACTTTTTGGGTGAGTGATTGTATTTCTAAAAATAAACATACTTTTATTTTTATAATTCCGGCAACAGAGAGCTAAACTGTTTGAAGCTATAGGTGAGTGACGGATGTGGACAGAGGCAAGTAATCAAACTGTTAAGGCCATTTGAACTTTATTTGGTACTCTTTCGAACAGTTTGTTATGTTGTGACTTAACATCTGGGCGCTTTTTGATCCAAATGAGTTAAATATTTTGCTTTTCAAAAGTATGCTAGCTTTTGAGACCAAACAGTGAATCTGCCATACTCGTGGTCAAAAGATTTTGGATTTTAAATTTTTTCTTCCCTTGGAATCAACACTAAAAATCATTTTCAGGGTGCTATCAAGTTCAGTTTGGGTCCCAGTGTAACGTTTTGTTAAGTGGAAATGTAAGAGACCAGTGTCTTGTATGCCATGTGATTTGGTATTGTCATCAGTTTCTCTTCCCGTCATTCGATTCAAAATAAGTGCACGAAAGGAAAGTTGGTTATATAACTTTCCAGATGCACTATATCACAATTTTTTGTGTGGTGCTTCGACATAGTTTTCCCTATGTTCCTAGTACAAGTGTTCTAAATAATTTTCCATACATTCATACTTACTACCCGTTACGCCATCTGGCGTTTAGGGCATCAGCAAATGATCTCCCGCTCTGTCTGTTTTGGGCCATCTTGGTCAACGTCCCCCAGGAATGGTTCCAGGACTTCATTTCAGACTCTACTGTTCATCTCCAGGTCATTTTGGGTCTGCCCCTTTTGCGATGTCCTTCGGGTGTCCAGTGGAGGGCAGTCTTCACAATAGAGTCTGGTTCTCTTCTCAGAACCTGTCCGATCCATCTCCATCTTCTCCTTTTTTTTATGGTGGTCATGTCCTCTTGCCTACATTCATAGTTCTCGTGTATGTTCTCAGGCTGGGTGAACAGACAACAGTTTGAGGAGAGTTGGATGAGTTTGCTGGGAGTGCTGAACCCTGTCTCGCACACTGGTCATGACTTGTCGCCGGAGGTAAGTTTATAAAGTGGGTTTAGAGAGGACATGTCTTTGCTTGTTTGTTATTTTTGTTTCACAGTTCTGTCTCCTATTGCTTTAATTACCTCTTGACACTGAAGTGATATGCTGTATTTTTACAGAGGTCATACGTTTATGTATCAGATTGCTGTGTTTCAGTGGCATTTATGTTTTACTTAAAGAGTAAAGAGTTCAGCAAAGATTTAACACAGTATGTAATCTGTGCCTTTAAAGTTCTGTAGTGGCTATTTCATCCTCAGACAGTAGAGTGTATAAAAAAACTTTACCTTATTAAATATTTTAGCATTTTATCTGAATTTTAAAAAGAAAACTGTTATCATCATATACCTTAAATAATCACATCTGTACATCGATTGATATTTTTGCCTCAGGAGGAAATAGAACAGGCCCAGGGCATGGTTTTAGCCGTCAAGGCTATCACGTCTTTGCTGCTACAGGCCTCTCTGGTGCCCACCTCAGGCAACACGGCCAACAGCTGCTACGAGACTCGGCCCCGGGACAAGCCCCTGGCCTTCTTACACACCAGGTGAGTACATGGTCAGGCTTACCCAGGCCTGGAGTAGGGATTCATTTTTGTTTTGTGTCATCAAAGAGCTGTTTTGCCACACAGCCGTCTTGATAACATGGGGACAGAAAGTACATTTTCTTATTTCAAGCACTGCACCAGGCTTTGACCATGGTCTTTGATCCTCAAAACTGATTTTTTTTCTGTGAAAAGGAAAACAAAGCTATCTACTTGGTCTCTTATCAGACACAAAGGTGTTGTTCAAAATTAGGAGCTTTGGGTGCCTAAGTTTGCTAAACTTGTTTAAGTAAAGTGAAAACAGGTAGATCTTAGCAAACTGGAAAACCTCCTGGAGCCAGAAATTGAGATTTTAAGGGGGCCTTTACTCCCTCGATTGACCTTTTCCTGGGTCTTCCTCTTGCTCTGAAGCCAGGTACTCTTGTGTTGTAGACGTTCAGGGCAAGTTGGTTGATAGGTATGAGAATGTCCAAACTTTTTGATTCTTTGCTTTTTATTGTGCTGTTGGACTGGTACGGTACCGTTTACCTCTCTGATGGCTTAGTTATGGACCCTGTCTCTTCTCGTCTTATTTACAATCTTCCTGAGGGATGTTATTTGCATGCTATGATTTTGCATTGTTGAGGTATGGTAAGGGCCCAAGTCTGGCACTGATATGTTAAACTAAGAAATGTGATCTTTAATTTGCATTGTGCAAAAAAAGAGTTAATCTATTTTGCTGTCTTTCCTCCACAGATGTGGCAAGAAATTGTCAGTCATACGAGGTCTGATCGAGCAAGAAATTATCAACTTGTGTGCATCAAGGTGTGCTATAAGATGTTTTTATCTCCCAGTCTAGACGTTGTGCGTGTTTAAGCTAAAGAGGGCTTCTTGTCTCTTCCCCCACACTCCACCCCCTCATACAAACACATTCGCACACACACACACACACACACACACACACACACACACACACACACACACACACACACACACACACACACACACACACACACACTCACACCCACACACACAGTGGGTGGTTGGCGGGTGCTCTGATGTGGTTTGCTTCTTCTTTCCTATCAAACATCTATCATCCTTATCTGCCCTTCTTCTTTTTTATGTTTGTTACTCCCTTGTAACATCTCTAATCTTCTGGTGCTCATATGACCTTATGCAGTTGCGAGCGCCTTAAAACCACTACTAAACCACACGCACTCACACTCACACACATGCATTCAGTCACTGCCACACTCACACGCCTTTCCCTTCAAAAGTTCTAGCTTTGCACTCATTACTTTTACTTCTCACCTTCACATTGCTGATATTAAGTACAGGTCCTTTGAGTTGAGAGTTGCTCACTGGTCTATGTTTTTTAAGTTGTGAACAAGATATTTTAGTTTAGAAAATTTCAGTTTTATGTTGAGTTGTAGTCTTGGGTTCCGGTCAAAATCATAATGCAAACAAATCTTTGCCTTTGCTTTTGCTCTGTGTGGCAGCTGTCAAAGTAAGTATGTTATTTTCCTCAGTTAAGTCCTCTTATAGCAATAGTTTTATAACAGCTGGGTCTTAATGAAAACGGATCTTGTGCTTTTGATACAGTTTCAACATTGTGCCATTCATATGCTTAATATGCTATCCTCAGGCCAGACCGACTGGTAGCTCAAGCCTACTGCGGTAACCCTTCGGACAAGGCCAGTGTGAGTCTGTTTAATGGTAATCTGGAGCGAGAGATTGGCTCGGAGGAGTACAGCCTTGGACAGGTGGGTGATCACAGCTCACATGCAACATTCTTACATGTTTTCAGAGTTTTAATTTTGGTCACCTGAGCCTTGTGTAAGTCACAGATTGATGTACACAAAAGTGGGAAGTCATGAAATAACGCCAAGAGGTTAGCCCGGGATAAAGAAAAGTGGAAAGTGTTGGCAGTCTATACCCTGATCCAGGGTGAGAAAGGCAATGATGATTTTGGGATTTTAGAAATAGCATTGATTGTTTTCTTGCTTATATGATTGTTTTTATGTATTTTGGATAGTGTGTTATTCTTTTTCGAATAGTTGTCTGTGGTGTTTTGAAATAACTTTTTATAAAGAAATATTTTTTGTGTGTATGTGAGTATTGACTAAAAGTGTTCTCTGTGACTTTGTCAGTAATCCTGCCTAAGCCAACTCTACCATATTTTTTATATTTGAAATATAAAATGTAAAGTAAGTTAAAGACACAACTCTTAATAAGTGCATTGGTTTGTTTTTATACTTAAAGAAAGATCAGTTGTGCTGCAGTCATGCCTTTCAATCTCTGATGAATAGCAGCATGGCAATAATATTACCTGTTTGCTGGCATGTTTTTCAGTGGGTGGCAATGTTAATATCAAAAGATGGTTGATGCAATACTTTCATGAGTAGTATTTCAGTATATTCCTTTATTACCAATTCAGTGTTACTGTGGCCTGTTGAAAACTGTTTCTATTGTAAGTTTGCAGCTTTTGTTTTAACAGTGCGGTAGAATCTCAGTCATTTATAATGGAAATTATTGTCTGGAGTCGCTGTACGTTTGGGAATTGGGAATACATACCTAGGCCTCAAATTTGTTTCTTGAGAGGATTTATACAATGTTGGAAGAGGCTGTCCTTTCCCATGCACTTGCTTAAATTTTTAAAGACGAAATTAAAATATTTGAGAGCTGGATTTAGATGATATGGTGTTTCGAACAGTTTCTCTGTGTCACACCTTATTATGGAGTAAAATATGCACCTTTTAGTTCAACAATGGCAAACTGTATAGCATCTTATTATCTCCAGATCTCCATCGAGTCCACCTGGTCACTTGTTGGAAACCTTGACCTTCCCTTGTCCACCTCTGAAAGCACGGATTCTCCCGACAGTACCGCCGGTCAGGCTGCTGCTGAGACCACCCCCAGTGCCACCTCTCCTTCCTCAGGCTCCGGCTCAGCCAGCAGCCCAGAGGGTGTGTCCTCTCGCTCGGTCAGTCGCTGCGGCCTGGACATCCACTCATGCTTACAGTTTCTGCTCGAGTTGTACGGGGCGTGGCTTCATGTGGACAACAGCCCAAAACCACCACTCATGCTTCTCAACTCTGTGGTCAAGTCGGTGAGTACATACTCTAGGTGACCTTTTGGTGTGGTCTGCATCTTTGAAATTTTTTTTCTGTAGGCCTATCTTTGGTCTTTTTGTGATTTTAATGAAATGTGGCTATTAAAATGGTCTTACAGTGCTTCACACAACTGTTGATGGAAATTAATTGACAGGTGGATGGAGTAATGATGGATGTGCTAGTATCTATTTCAGATAGTAATTTAAGTAATCGCTTTGTTGAGCTGATAGTAACGATAATTATTATTGTGCTCATGAAACAATGATGTACTATACAAGCATGAAAGATGTTTTATTTCTGAAATATTGACTGTTTCCAGAACACTAAGATAGCGGGTCTCATAAACACTGTATTGAATAAGTTCTTGTTGCTTTTTAAAAAAAATTGTAGTTATGCACTTAACTTATGACATCTCATGCAAACACAATATGGCCTGCAAGCTGTACAACTGTTCTAAGCCAAAAAAGTAAAATATTTTATAATAGAGAAAAGTCTGTTGCATTCTTTTGACAATTGTTCGTACCATTATTGGTTTTTTGTTGTTTCTTTTTTTTTGCTTTTCCCAACATTTAGAATTTGAATTTCAACAAAATGTTTCTAAACACATGCAGTCAATACACAGATTGAGAAACTGCAATTAAAAAATTTTCAAAATTATGGGCTCAGTCCATCTGAACAGCAGGCTGACAATACATTGTGGACATGATAAAACATTGCTTTACCAGGAAGGGTATAGATTAAACAGGACTCTTGTTTACTGATGAGGCGGACTGGTCATTGAATAGGCAAATCCTAATTAAAAGGCTGACTATGGGAGCTGCGAAGTTGTGTGAACTTTTTGCTGAAAGCCATACATGCCTCTGAATAAAAACTTGAACTTGCTTTTCTTCATTACGTTGTGCCATTCTTTCCTATGTCTTAAATTTTGTGTCTTGTACCTGGCAGATGGTGAGCCTGTCCGATCTGTTTGTGGAACGAGAGCAATTTGAGTTCATGCAGGACATTCTGCTTGACCTTCTCAAAGGTCACCCTGCAGAGGATGAGCTAGTCACACAGTACCTGGTGGTTGGCCTGTGCAAGTCAACAGCCGTTGTCGGCACGGTAAGTAAATGACGCGTGTTGTACTCTCAGATAAATCATGACTAGCGCACCTATGAACAAAACTGCAAAATTACCTCTAAATTGTCCAAAACTAGTAAAGTTTGTTGTACTATTAGTCAAACTGTGACTTGTGTACCTATGAAGAAAAGTGCAGAATTATATAAAATTTGTTAAAAGCCAATTAGGTACGTTAAAGGTATCAGTGTTGTGCTCACAACTAAAATGTTGTAGGTCTGAAACTTGTCAGAGGCCCGACATTGTGTCTGTGGGAAAGGCACTTTACACAAATTTCTTTCACTTCACCCAGGTTGGAATGGGTAGGCCTACTCAGCTATAGACAGTGAAAGTCTTGTATGTGTGGTAGTGTTTGAGTGCTTAATTGACTGTCCACTCTGTATGTTTCCTGGGAAGCCGAGAATGTTTTTGAGTGTTGTAAAGCACATAGAGCTTGCTGTTGAATAGGGATATGTGCTTTTTTATTATTTCAAACTGTCTTTCAGACTGTGACGACCGCACCAACGAGTAAAACTGTTAAATTACCTCTAATTTCTTTTATGTCTGTTAAGATTTTTTTTGGTGTGCTCCATTTTTCATAATAAGTTGTTGTCATTTGTCTTTTTCAAAATACTATTTCCATATGGAATCCAATACTGATACTTGCAATTTGATTAAGTTTCATTTTAAGCTTTTTTTCTTCTGTTTGATTGAAGTCCCTGCTGAATTTATGAATCTATGAGAGTGAAAGTTTCTGTGAGATATTGTTGCCTATTTTTTTATTTTTTTTTGGTGATGTGCCTGAAAAATGAATGTCAAGTCGGAAAGCTTAAAGCCTTACCAAAAGTATTAGTCGCAAAGCTTTCATTGCCATCCTGTGAATAAGCTATATGTAATGTCCTCATGATTCTGAAAAATTTGTTGTCTTATATATTCTAAACAGGAAGCCCTGGTCAACGAGCGAATGGTCAAACTTGTTGAGTCTGGTCTAAAGAGCACTCACCTGCCCACGAAGATCTCGGCGCTGCATGGCGCCCTGTATGTCCTGGAGACGGGGGTCTCTGACCTCAGCACTGCCTTCCTGCCTGTCCTCACAGATTTCCTGGCCAAGCATCTGGCTATTGTCTCGCAGTGAGTGTTGGAGTTTTGAGATGTGTGTTACATCAAAGATAGTGAATAACAAGATTGGCCACTCAGCCAAAAAAGTGTCCGCAGGAAGTATGCTCTTTGCTTCAGATGGCGCTGCAGTCTGTTTTGAAGCTCTCTTTCGTTTTTCCAGAAGAAGAATAGGAATAGCACCTCCTCGCGTGCGCAGATCGACTGCTGTTCATCAGCAGTTCGGGTACGTTCAGTGCGGAGTTTTAGTTTTTTTTTATTTTAATGACTTCTCGCCTTTCATTCTAAAGTCAAATTAAACGAAGAAAACCATCACCCTTTCCTCCGGAAGAGGTTTTTTGTCAGCGTAACCATTATAAAAAAGCGTTCTTCCGAAATTTATCCCAAAACTTGCTAGTTTCACTTTGATTTTTAAAAACTCAAGTAGGGTAACTGTTCGCAAAGAGTGCGCTTTTGTGAAGAGGGCGCCACCAAATTTTGAGGACACTTTTTTAATTGGCTCAAAGAGAGAAGTGGCCCATCTTGTTATATACTATCATTGGTTACATGCCCTGTAACCCTCAGTTATCATAGAGGGCACACTTACAATTTCCAATAGGCAGGAATGAATATTTTAAATACCTTTGAGTAACTGAAGATTACAGTTGACAATTCAGAGATTCAAATTCTACATGACCCAAATGTATGTACACCCCACTAGAGGTCACTTGATTTAACTGAAACTTGCTTTACCGCATCTGTAATTTACTTTTACATATCGCTAGCCGCGTGATTCAACCGCCTAAGTGCCAAGAGACAAATTTTTCAGGAGAAGCAAAAAACTGTTATATTTCTTTATGCTCTTACCTATGAATCTGAAATTCAGTTATATGATATGATATGATGTAGGACGATGGTCTGTAACTTTTCATAAAAAAAGCTTTCTTACAAAAGTTACTAGATATAGGCGGTTTAAATCTACTAAAATCTGCATGATTTAACCGCAGAAGTGACAGTGTGACGGCGTCTAGGCAATTGAATCACTAACTCATTCGCTACGCCGAGCCGTGGGGGGCGGCGCGGCTCAAGTGCCGTCAGTACGTTAAGTCGCCCCCGGCGGCTCGAGAACCGACGTTCAATTTTAGCTTGGTTTCTATTCCAATCCACTTATCCATGTTAAAATAAAGGTCATAATATAATGTTGACTTCTGGGTCAAGCGTTTCCACCGAAAATCGGAAGTTTTGATTCAGTTTTGAAACATGATTTCGTAATTTATTCGACTATGTTTTATCGCGAAGCCCAAATTATAGCCCAGACACCAGTCTTAGTACTTTTACACAACAAAATGTATAATTATTTTGCTCACTAAAGTATGTAAGACTCTTCTTTATAATATTGATACTACTGGACGCAAATTGCCGGTGCACTGTAATTGAGAAATCAATATTTTTGAGTGCTAGATCTAGGCCTAGATCTAAATAGTCAAAATATTTTTTTCTCCCCAAAATCACTACTTTTGGGTGAAATTAATCAAAAAGTACCACTCAAGACATGTATAGGTTTATTCCAAGTGCAATTCTGAATAATTCCATATAAGTTACGCGTATTTTTTTCTGTTTGTGATCCTTTTTTCAAAATTATTTTAAAATTATTATTTTTTCAATATCAGATGTTATGATCCAAATGTACAAATATTATGGAATGTATGTAAATAACTGCACATTTTTCAATATTTTCCTGTTCTATATACAGTTATGGTTATTTTGAGGTATCATTTGACTAGGTGCAAACATGTTTTTTTAGTTTCACCTGAGATTATAAATTTTTTGCTTTCCAATTTTATCCGCATCCAATCACAATTGTGTTGCATAATCGCCTCTTACAGGAACCAAAGTTGAAAAATACGCAAATAAATAATGCAGATGTATTCTACAAACCATACTGAAAATGTTGGTATATAATATGTTGATATTTATTTGAATTTATGGCCCCAAAGACCTGCGAACTGCGCACTAGTCATCATCTCATTTCGCCCTCCCGAAAAGAATTCGTCCACAAGCCGAAAATAATGCGTAGCGAATGAGTTAATCAACGCCACTCGACGAGCACCAGTGGTCACTTAGGCGTTTGAGTAAATCAATGTTCAAAAAGAAGCAAACTTGTGATGTGCTATCTTAGCCTCTGATATGCTCAATAATATGGTCTGTTGCCTGTGCAGATACACTCCTGTCCTGCACTAATATGTGTATTTTTGTTGAAGTACAGACGATAATCTACTTTGTTCTGTTGATACAGGGTTTGCATCATCAGCCAGCAGTTTGTGGTCAACATGTGGGCTGTCGCTTTTTACATCATTGAAAACTTCACCAACGAAATCAAAGACCTTGACTTCTCTTCGAAGATTATGCCTGTAAGTAGTCGACCTGTCCAAAACTTTTGTTAAACCGTTAAAACAGAAGGGGGAATTAGTGGTTGAGGGTGTAGCATTTTATGTGTTTCTGTAAGCTGTGTTATCTCAAGTATATTGGGATTAATTTTGCTTTCTGTAGGACAACAGGTCAGGTCTGGCTCGCTTGCGTTTTTCTTTTTGCGCCATTTATAATTGGGAAATTTGATAATGCTAATTTGCTCCGTTCTCTTTGTAAACTTTCAAAAAGAAAGAAGAACAATTTTATGATTTATTTTCTTTGTTTGCTGTTTTCAATCTAGTGATATCCTGCCTGAATTCTCTGTTCCTTGAGGCTGAGAAAGGCACCTTAAGTCAAAGGTCAGAATGTTATAGGGCAGTACATTGCACGTTTTGTTTCTAGTTAGTGAAATTGGTACGAGAGTTGTCAGGACATTATTCTGAGTTTTTATTGGAGATTTTTCATTTGTGTAATCTGCCTTGTAATGTTTAACCTGTGTTCCACAGCTGGTTGTTCAGACAGCTTCTGGTACAGAGGAGACTGTGTCCACTGCTGTGTTCCTGGTGGTCATGAAGGGAACAGAGAGGCTGCTGCTGACGGATGTTTTGACACAGACGGACACAGAGACGATCATCAAGCTCAGCATGGACAGGTGAGGAGAGTAGGCCTGGATTTTCTGACTGGCGTTGGTATTTTATGTCATCTTATGAATGGGTTGACAAGGAGACTAGATTCTCTTCACTCCTCAATCATGCACCTTTCTATCTTCTTTTTCACAGTCTTGGTCCATCTTTCTCTCAGCTGGAAGCATATGCGTACATGTACACATATGCACTGATTCAAATTCGAAAGTGCTCGATACTGTACAACTGTATAAAATAACACACTTCTAAATCCATGCTCTGTATTTTCCCCCAGGTTGTGTTTACCAAACCCTCAACGTGCCCTAGCTGCCTTGGGCCTCATGTTTACCTGTATGTACTCAGGTAAGTTTTACCCAACATGTAAACAGAGCATGTTACGAGTAGTTGGTGAATGCTTTGACGTGACCTGCTCCTTCTTTGTTTCAGTGTTTATGACTATCCTCTTGTTTTGTTGACAATATGTTTCTTTTTTTTTTTCAAATGCATTCACACACTTGCTGAATAGTTTCATTGGTGTATTGACCCTTGACTGTGAAATGTAAGGGCAGTGTTGAAAATACCTTAAAAACTTTGACCATACCTTCCAACCTCACCTTATTTGACCAGAAAAAGACATTTTTGTCATTGTTGAGTCGCAGCGTACAGCAAATCACCAGAATAATGGCTCCCTGTTCCATGGAATTTATCTTAAGATAATAGTAAATGTGAAAAGTAAGTAGAAGAAACACACTAGAGCACTCACCAACCATTGATGTTTAGGACAAGTTAGAGGGTTAGACAATATTTACCAACATTAATTAATTGTTTTTCATCTTAGAATTCTGTCTTTGTCTCCTAGTTGTGAATTTGCTCTCATGTGATATGTGATCTGTGTGCCTCTGACAGGTAAATCTGTTGACCAGTACAGCCCTCGGCCTCGGGAGGAACAGACTTTTGGAGAGCCTGGTTTTGAACTACTGCACCAAGACCCAGACTCTCTTATCCTCGCAATGGAGAGAGTCACTGTGCTTTTTGACAGGTCTTCTTTTTGGGTTTTTTGTCCTATCTGTATTAACATCCAATCTGTAAGAGTATGAAAGTTATTTTGCTCTTTTTCTGTTGGTGGAGGGAGTTTAAAAAATTGTATTTTGTTGTATTTAGTACCACCATTTGATGTGGAGTCATATGAATAATAGGAAATTGGTATTTTAGAGTAAAGAAATACAGTTACTTGGCAGAATATGAGATTTTTCATTTTAAAGATAAATGCCATACAGTAAATTTTTTATTGGATTTACCAATCAGTAACTTTCTACCAATAATTAATTCTTTGGGTATTTCAATTTGGCCTTTTATTTTTTAACCCAGTCGTCATGTTCTTCTGAAATGTGTATTTAAATACTTAACATTCAGTCACAGTTTTTGCACAAGTCTTTCTGCTTAAGTCAAATACTGACTAAAAAAGAAACATCAACTGAGAGAAATCTTTATTCTTAAAATTTTTTTACCAGCCTACAAAGAGCTGGTATGATTATAGTGAGGGTAGAGTGCCTTCAAGATCTGTTAGGTAGATGTAATGTTTTGAAAGTGTTATGTTTGTATATTTCAGTCAGCACTTTCTAAAATCACAATGTAGCTCCCTTCAGTTTTCAAGTTTTGAGATGCTGTCGTTAAGTCAGTGTGAACAGTTTATTGACCTGGTGATAGTTGCATTTAGTTTCTTGTTTTATGCAATATTTTCTTCCATATGTAGAAATCTGCTGTGAAATAGTCATTGCCAACACTTTCATCTAATTCAACTTGACAAATCATATTCAAGTCTTGTGTACAAATTTTTCATCTCTGCCCGATTTAGAATAATGTTTTCTTTTTCAGGATAAAAAAGGGCTATCCATACGAGGCACGAGTGATCACACGTTTGTTGCCAGCATTCCTTGCTGACTTTTTCCCAGCTCAAGATATAATGAACAAAGTGATAGGGGAATTTCTGTCAGCTCACCAGCCCTACCCGTATCTCATTGCCAAGGTTGTCTTTCAGGTATGTGGTCAAGAGGGAGATGCAGCTAGTGCTCTCTTCTCAAGGCAGCAAGTCACATTTACTGGACAGCAATCAAGCCACTTTTTAATAACTGAATTTTTTATACTTATAGTTTTTCAAGCTGACAAACCCGTTTATCTTACATTATGTCAAAGTTACAGTTATTTCGTGGAGCACACCTATAAATTTCCCTGAAAATTAAATTTTGGTTCGACTGCATTTTGAAAGGGGAAAGGAAGGCAGCATTAGTGCTTTTATTGTCTGAAAAATTCATATTTGAGGAATCTTGGAGAAATCAAGTGCTCGTCATTTTTAAAAAAATGAAATTCAAGAAATTGACATTTTTTGGCCAATTTGGACATTTTTGTCTAATTTTTGTTTTTTTGGCTCAATCCCTTGTATGCCCATCCTAAAACCCTTTTATGTAAGGCGCAAAAAAAATGTAAATTTGCAGTTTTCAAGGACTCTTAATCTATTGAGGTCACCAAACTTTGGCGGCCATTTTCTCTCCCGTTTCACCTCTGAAACCGGGCCACCTGAGCTCCTTCAATTGCAAGTAACTCGACATACAACATACATGGATAGTTTTTCACCAAAAGGAAGACCAATGAACAGGCTTTAAGATTATACCATAACTCTACATCGTTGGCCGCTTGATTCAACCGCCTAAGTGACAAAATTTTTGAAAATCACTTTTTTATCCTTTTATGTAGTATAGCCTTTGATACTCCTTATGTTAAAATCACGAGATTGAAAGATTACTGCAAAGTGTTTCAATCCTTCAGTAAATCAATTGCCTATTTTACACCAGTCCCAATTTCCGCGTGATTCAACCGCTCAAGTGCCAGTTTTGCATCCCGGTGGCGAATGGGCGGTTTGTCAAAACAGACTGGAGTTTAACAACAAAACAAAGTGCCGCCTTTGTTAACTTCGACTCGGATCGAACCCTATCGATGGCCAGAAAATTTTGTCAAATCAGTTTGCGTATTCTATCACTAGGTTTGGTAGTGTAGTTGAGAAAGGGCAAGATGGCATCAATGATTATGTTAATACTGACTCTATCAAGTCGGTAAATTATGGCAAAAGCTACTGACAAAGAATTTTTTATTAAAATCTGTGATTGACAGTTCAAGGGCGCTTATTTCACATTCGGTACAACTATTGGAAAATATTTTTATTCCGACTTTTCATGTTTTTTAATTTGCTTTAAGTGTGTGCCCTTTGCTGTGTCTGCCATGTACCATTCTTGAATCGTTGGTTAGTTAATCAGTGCCGGGCAGATGATACTTAATTTGTCACTCGAAAAAAAAAAAGCAACTCATAAACATATTTGCCCCGAAAATTCTCTCTTCAACAAACCTTCAACTTCAACTCTCCAGCTCTACACTTCAATTTAAAACAAATCTCATACATTCTACTTATATGCAACACAATGAGTATGTGTACATCTGCCTTCACACAGTGGTTATTTGTGACTGTTGCAAAGACAGTTCACATGACTTGGAGATGGGAGCTCCGCGATTGTCAAATTAGCAGACAGCAGAAGAGGACAAAAATTTTGTGATAAATAGTTCTTCGACAAACATAACGAAATTGCTTTCCTATTACTACAGACTGAATACAGGCAAAATCTATCTTGACTAACACTTTCAAAGCCTCAGAGGCCTTTATAGGGAGTACCAAAGAAAATGGAAAGAGTCACACATTGTCTCAGACGACATTAGAGAGATCTATTCAAAAAGAGCAACCTGTTGTATGTATGTCGGAAGGATCAATTTGATATATGCAAGGTAGGAGAATGAATCTAACATGAAGCTTGCATAAAACCCAGTGGATGGGACAAGATTATGTCTAGTGTGCATGGACTTGGAAGCCGGTTTGTTAGTATGGCGTTGAATTCATCTGCTGAACAATATCATAACAGGACCAAATTAGCTGTCTATATTTTTTTTTCATTTGGTAACCAAAGATGTGAAATGTCTCGTTTGGCACGAAGGAGAAGGGCCATTGTTTCAGTAACTACCTGGAGGAGCCTACTGACTTCTTTATGCCATGTTCATTATATACAGTGGTGGCTGTACTTATCAGACCACAACGCTATATTGTCAAATGAAATCAGCGACATTTGTGTACCAGATAGAACAAAATTGTTGAACACAAATACCTTGAAAAAGAACAAGCACAAATGGAAGTGGACAGCACACACAGAGTAATTGAAAGGTCCCTGAAAATGGCATGGTCTATGTGCTCATGGATAATCGTGAACGTTTTTAAGAAAGCAAGACAATTACCACCCCCACCCCCCCTTGGTGTTCGATTTCTGGACCATTCAGACTTGGCTGAAACAAAAACGACCCCGTTGTCACAAACGTTTGTTGCCTTTGATACCCACTGAACAAAAACATCCGGTACAAATTGAGGGTTAAGATGAATGGTCTCTTTTACCAACTCCATGAAGCCAAAAACAGTCCTACCACAGAAGACCAAATCAAATAACTGAAATAATGACTCTTAACTTTATAATTACTCCTAAAACTATTATGATTTGCTTTCATTGATTACTCAAACGTTCAAGCGACTGCTGGCACTCGCCGTGTGGGTTTGATTGACGTGATTCAAACGCCTAGATGCCGTCATACTGTCACTTAGGCGGTTGAATCACGCAGATTTTGGTAAGTCTGAACCGCTTATGTCCCATAACTTATGTAAGAAAGCTTTTTTTTTTTTTTAAAGTTTGTTACAGACCATTGTCCTACATCATATAGGTACGAGCATAAAGAAATTAACAGTTTTTTACTTTTGAAAAATTTGTCTCTTTTCACTCAGGCGGTTGAATCACGTGGCTAGCAGCTAGCAATATACCCAAAAATTGAGGAGTGCCTGATTCCACCACATTGTGACACATATGTTTTAATTACCTTCATTTCAGTGTTCACGAAGCTCTCTGTCCGCTCACTTTGTATCAAGCAAATGCAGGCCACCATTGTTCAAAACCTGAAAAAAGTATACCTAAACTTTCCCTTGTTTGAGATTTCAGGCCTCTCCATCCAGCCTTTTGACCTACTGTTAACAGAAATGGATGTTAAACCGGAGATTGTTTTGTAAATTATTTTATTGTGTTTGTGTTGAAAGGGTGTTCACACTTAACTTATCCCATACAGCTTGTATATAGAGTCACCTCAAGTATATTTTACTAGACTTTTGTCATGCTGTTGTCCAGTTCCTCTACTGTACACTCACTTGCTGGTCTGTGTCTCTCCTCAGGTATTTGCCACGTTGCACCAGCAGCAGCAGCAGTCTTTGGTGCGTGAGTGGGTCATGCTGAGTCTGTCAAATTTCACTCAGCGCTCACCACCAGCCATGGCCATGTGGAGCCTCAGCCTGTTCTTCATCAGCGCCTCCACCAACATCTGGCTCCGTGCTCTGTATCCTTTGCTTTTTGGCACAACCAGAATGTCTCACTTGATCTGTCTGGAATATCATAACTTCCCAAGTATATTAATAAATAAGTGGGAGATAATTTGTCCATGGCCAGGTTTCTGGTAAATATTTTTTGTTGATATGTAAATTTAGTTTTTGCTGTTTAACCCTTAAAACCCTATACTGCTGATAACCGTTTACACCGTATTATCCTATACCGCTGGTAACCGCTGGTTATCTTTATCTTTTAATTCCCAGCGCTAGAAACAGGGGATGTAACTCCAGACGACTCTGTTGCGAGTAGAAAGTACCGATAATGTTATGAGAGCAGTTCTACATCGAAAGTTAGGAAATTTTGCGAGTTTTAAAGAAAAATTAGTCTCTTTTCGCTGCCAGGGCCTTCAGGCTGCAAATTTTTAAACGTTTTTTATCCTGAACCAGACCCCAATTATGATCTCCTAGTCAGATATATCGATAACCATGACAGTTGAAGACGATTGCATTGTTCCGCATAACATCGATGATGATTTTGGCGATAGTGGAAGTGGCAGGGGATCACCACTAAAGCTATCAGAGGCTAGATCTACGGCTGGGTCTAATGATACTTTGACTGAAGTGGAGTCGGGGATCACACACAAGACTTAAGTCATAGAGTTGGTCCTAAAAACCAGTGTTTTAACCTTTTCCCTTTTTGTCCAGACTGTGCATTCATATATAAATAACATTTTCAAACTTCAGTAAAATCTAACAACAATTAAAGACACAGTAAATAAAACAATGAACCAACCTAATTTTTTCTAGTATCTCAATTTTTTAATTCAGGATTCTAGGGAGGTTTGAAAAAAAGAATTCAGGGTTTTAAGGGTTAAGTTTGCTGGCCTGATGATGTGAGGCAATAAATATAAGATGTTATTTTTGAAAACATTTGCTCAACCAGACAAGTTTGAAAACTAAAAAGTTGCCTTCTTTAATTGATATCCAATTACTACAAGTGCTTATATTTATGACTTTTTTTTTTCCATGTTGCATAATGTTCCTTAACTTTGCACAGTTTTCCACATGTCTTGGGACGCATGGGTCACATGGAAAGCTTAGACCGACAGCTGTTCTGTTTGTGTGCACTTGACTTTTATCGCCAGCTGACGGAGGAGGGACAGCGACGAGCATTCCTATCAACGTTCCAAGCCATCGCAGCTCCAGAGTCTCCATACAGTGATTTGGTGGCTTGTCTTGCTTAGTCTGTGAATGACTGTGCAGCTCCTGCTGTTCAAACAATCGGGTCTGCTCCCAAAACTTCCACTTTACCCGATATTTCCAGAATGTGAATGTCAACTTGTCTTGTAGGAAGCAATCCAAAATGTTCCGGGAACCTTGCTAGAAAAAAGTAGCACCAATTCATACTGAAGATACCATTCCATAAGGCTGTGAATAAAGCACTATATCAGATTTTTTTAATGGTCATGTGAGAGAGGTAAAACAATCAGAATTATTGCATAACTTTTTCCTCTATCTTGTTCATGACGATTCTTTAAATTTTGTGTATGGCCATCCTGCATAGCTGTGGCTGGCAGTTAGTGTGTAAATTCTGTACTATTTGTTTCCCCTCAAGTAAAACTTTTGAGTCAAAATGACGGTATGACTTAAGATCTCAGTTTTGTTCATAGCTGAACTGTTGACATGCTCTCTGGCATGCCTCACTGCCAAAGCTGGCTACCCATCGATGCTGAGATTATATCAGCAAATGACTTATATTAAAATTGTTTTGTGTTTTGGGGGATTTTTTTTCAGTGCAATATTTAAGATGTGATTTTCTAAAGCTGCAAGTGGTTAGAATGTGTCCTGGCCTTTTGCAGGTATCTCATTCCAGATTTAAAAAATGGATGGTGTGAGTGTGAGCAGGGTGCTTCAACTGAGGTAGCTATGTCTTACATTTGGGATTGCCCTCAATATCTGTTTCATTATTTCATGCCTCTGTTGAGACTGCTCCTCTTGTTTGACATGGCCCAGTGATTGACTTTTTACCAGAAATGTTTGTTCATGAGCGAATGTTTTTGTGTGTTTTGCATCTAAGGATGAAATGAAAGTAGACTGTATGATATTTCCACATATGTTTCAGTTTAATGAACATTCCAAATTGAATTTGATAGCATGGTTGACAATGTAAACAATCTTTTAATGTTTTTCATCCTTGATGTTATTCTTGTTTCTTTTTGTCTCTTGATAACCATTTGAGATATGTTGATGTATGATTGCACATATTTTATTCTAAGAATGTACAGTTCTGCTGTATGTGCACTATGCCTAGCACAGAACTATTAGGCTTTCATTCAGCTGTCTGTTATCAGCTTCTTGAGTGTAGATGTCCTACAGTGCACTACACAGTTTCTTCATGGTGCCAAAAGTCAAGGGTTAGATGTCACTGCTCCTCGTAGATCATCTCACTGTGCACAGTGTAGCAGTCCCACAAGTGTAGTGTATGTGCTGTGGTCAGTAGTACAGTAATGAGCAAGGCTTCAAAGATGAAATGCTTAAACATAATAGCAGCCTTCGGAGAAGACCACAGAATGTGTGCACTCTCTTACGTTCAACTGTCTGTCAATCTTTATGTGAATGTTTCTATCTCTCTGCTGCTCTTGTTTCCTTTCTTTCTGACATTCTCTTTCCAATGATCTTTCTTGTTTCTTTTTCTTTTGGCGAAAGTTTGATGATATATGTGCTGTTTTCATTTTAGGCATATCATTGTCCTGTATACTTTACATAATGTTGCAATATTTTGCTTTACAAAGAGTGTACTTGGGTTTCTTTCCATTTGTGAGGCTTCACAATGGTTGCACCCTTGTCTCTAATGTATGACTGAAGTAAGTTATAATCTGGAGTTTAGGATGCTGCTTTTAACCAGAGTTGCAGATTTGACTTTACTTTTGACTTCAAATTTGACCGTGGATTTGGATTCTGAAAGCTGATCGTACAGCTGTACTTTTGGGATCAAAACTTTCTATAATCAAATTTACCGTTATGATGAACGCCAGTCTTGAACTGGCTATGTAGTGATAAATATTACTCTTTCTGTACACTGAAAGATGATGACTTTGTTTGTCTCTCCTACATACACTTTCAAATCTGTTTTACTTTACTGCATATCAGTACTGTGAAACTCAGATATAATGGGCCTGATATTCAATTTCATTGAATCTGAGTGTTAGTTATAGCAGTGTGAACTAGTTACTTCACAATGTGGGACCACAGCAAAATATTTTCGAAGGCCAGCACTCAATTCATAACGTAGAGTAAAAGCTATGTCTCGACTAGCCTTTCATATTCCAGTAGCCGAGGAAGGGGTTGGATATGACTGTGACATGTCTGTATTTCTGCAGACTTTTCATGCCTGAAACGCTTGTTCCACTATTTACGGTACAGCAGACAATTGATCAAGAGCTATTTGTCTGAATGAATCAGCTGTCAGGGGAAAGCAGCTGTGCAACGGGGTTCTTAAGTGTGCATTCTGAGCATAGTGCTTTAGATGAATGATGCATGGACTGTGTTTTCTCATCCGGGAAAGAATTTCAAATGAAACTTACTTTTCAAAGGATTTTAAAATGATGCTTTCGTTGCTCATGCAATGCTGCTTCAGGACATGCTTGCAGCATGGAAGATTGAAGAATGCAGAAAAACCTGTGGAGAACTAGAGAATGTAAGAAAGAAGTATGTTCCACCTTTTATGAATGAAGAGGGGCCCTCAGCAAGATATAAATGAATTAAATGTTCAAACTTGCGAACAGGAAACAGTTTGGAAGCTAAGGGATGAGGGAAGTGAGGACTGCTTTTAATCAAATGAAAGGAAAAGACAGCAACAAAAGTGTTATTTATGTTCACACATGAAAGAGTCATTATCATGAATCTTTTCTTTGTACTCACTACAATAGGCATTCTCTGGCACATTTTGGGGTATGCAGTGATACATGTTATCATCACAGGACATGAAATGTTTTTTGCAACACGTTTGTCTGTAGTTTGGAACAGTGCCTATTTTACTCCTTTTATTTTATTATTCTTATTGGAGGAAATTTGCTATTTCTTATTTCTCGGTCTTTTCTTTTAAAGTTATTTTAAAGCCTGACTTCATACATATTTTTTATTGTGACTCATATATGTGTTTGTCAGGTGTTCAAAACAAATTTGGCATCCAGAATATGAAAATGATGATAGTCCCTATTGTTGTTTTTTTGTTGTTGTCTGTTTGAAGTACATGTAATATTATTTCCAAAAATTAGATGCACTCATAGTGTGTTCATTTTTTAATAGCAGCATTGACTAATTGTTTTTCATTTTTGACAGTCCCACTCGCTTGGCTGGATGGTCAACTTGTTGTTTCAGGTGAAATCACTTTTGAACTTGATTCTTGTTCTTGTTTTCATGAATATCAGCACCCAGTTGTATGTACTGGAAGAAACCCACAACAAACATCACCCACAATGCAGGCCTTGTAGTTTGTTTGCAGCGAAGGCGTATTGTGCTTTCCACAGGGTCTTATGAAACTCGGAGCTGAATCTGCTCAGCGTTGATAGATCTTTTGGAGGTAATACTTCGTTCTTTTTTGGTGTTTACACAAGCATGGTAGACAACATATTGTTATTGCTGGGTATCTGTTTATCTCTCTCCCTCTTTCTTCATTGATCTGTCTGAATGAATGAACCCGGTTTTTAGTCCAATTTCATTTTAAAGATCTATCCATATGGCGAAAATATGGGGGGCTATCCTCAGACTTTTCTCATGAAACTTTTTCTTCTGTCAGTCCCAACATCCTGTGAAGCATCAGGGTTTGTTTCTCTCCTTGTACAAAGCGAGATTATCTGGTCATTTCAACCCCTCCATACTTAACTGAATATGACTCACTTCAAGGGGATTGTGAGGATCATGGGACCACAGAAATGCTATTGTGGTTGATTTTTCTGGGTTTTTTCAAGAGACTAACTCAGCTGGCACCATAAATTGTTTGCATCTTCCAATCAGTTTGACCCTTTGTTTTTCTTCTGGGTACTGATTTTTTTTACCCAAATAATTTTTACTTTTTTTCTCTATTATTGTAATTGAGGATGAGAATTATAGTACTGATAGGAGAGTTGCAAGCACTGTTGAAGAAAGGCTGAGTTGAAAAATTCCTCTCTATAGTGATATGCATCTGTTCTAATTTTCCTTTTTACATTTAGGGTTTGTTAATGATTTCCAGGGGATGCTCTTCCTTTTACAAATAAACTGGGCATGAGAACAAAGTATTTGTTAATTTTTTTTTTCTAGATAATTGTCTTGTATTTATGCAGTAAACTGGGTGCAGTGTTGAATTGCATTGGAATTGCCATATTATTTGCCAGTGTCATTCCGCTTAACACAGTTGACAGTGACAAAGGACGTATGTTGTGGAGTCTTGTTGAGGACAGGGTTCCTGAGTGTCAGTGAGAAGTGTGCTAAGGTAATTATTATAGTCTGAAAGCTTTGAATCCTGCTGTCTGTTATGGAGTGTGTGCACGCTGTGATTTTATTGAAGATAGAAGGTTCACCATTCACACTGTGATATCATTTAACATGGAAGTCCCCTCTGGAATTTCGAAGTTAAATGTACTTTTGACTTCATTGATTACAATGTGCACTCCTTTTTGCAGGCTTTGTATAATGTTGTATTTAGGAGGTCACTACATTATAAATAGCTGGTGAGGTTGTTGCATTATACAGGTATATGTGACTTTAGTGCAGCCAAAGAGTGGCACTGATATTGTTCCTGTCTGCTTCTGGATGTAAGCATTTGCTTTTTTCATATTTGAACATCTTGAGTTTTGATGATCATTTGCTTTATTATTTGTGTATCTTATGAAGTTGTTTCTTTACTCTTGTGTTAAAATACACTTTTTGGTTATACAGCTCCTGACGTTGTTGTCTTGTTTTCTATTATTTTTCCTTTAAGATTTCAGTTTTTGTGAGGAAATGTAATTTATCAGGCACTTAGGGAAGTTTATTTAGTTGGGTATGTAGAGTACTCGCACAAGTACGCATGTTTGTTGTGTAACGTAGGCTTTATTAAGGCTTGATTAATATGACATTGGAAAACAGTATGGACAGATTGGAGTCTGTACCAGAGTGTAGCTGTTTTCTCATCTATTACGTTTTGTATTCACATGAAGTGTCCAAGCAGATGGTTGACGGGTGCCCAGGTGTGGTTTGCTCCTTCTCTTTCCTATAAAACATCTATCGTCCTTATCTCTCCTCGTTTTTGTGTTTATTACTCTCTTATAACACCTGTAATCGACTGCCCTTTTTTACGGCCTTATTGTGTTGCAGGTGGTGTTGAACTTTTACTTATACAAAAAACAAAGTATCCATTTAGACACAGCTTAGTTCAAAAGGGGAATCACTGTCCCTAGTAACAGAAGTAAAGAAAAGGAGAAAAGTTGTACTTCAACACCCCCCCCCCCCCCCCCCCCCTTCCATTCTTTAAAATAAGTTAAAATCATCTTTTGTTACACATGACGTGATGTTTGACGAAACAATGAAAAAGAGAGAGAGAGAAAGAGATGTAAAGTCTTTTGATAAGAGTAAGAGTATAACATACGGTATCAATTTGCACGTTTTTTTATCGACACACTTTAGATCATTTAGGAGGTAGGCTGTTTTGTGTTAACTTGGGCTGAGAGGGATACAACTTTCCAGCAGAAAGATTGAGGTGCTCCGTAAAAATTCTCTCCACATAAGAATCAAGCTCAAGTTTTCTACGTGCAACAGCAGAGCACTTTACTGCTGCACCACAAGCACCGGTTGAATGAGAGTGAAAAGACGAAAAATCGTAAAGGATCTTTCTGCACTCAAACATGTATGTTGTAGGGCTGTACCCCGGTAGCAAACCCGCTCGTGCTCACAAGCCCCTAGTTCAAGTCACAAGCCTCAAATCAGTAGGTCAAATCATCAAATCAAATCACCAGCAATATAAGTTGAGTCTAGCGCAAACTGTAACCTCCTTTGTCTAGTCTAAACTTCAAGTCCACAGCAACTAGCAATCCGCGAAGCCACTCGTGTCAGGCCCCCTCATCATCCCCACCCTGCTTGCAATCCGCGAAGCCACTTACGTCAGAAAAAGAGAGAGGGGGAGAGTGAGAGATCTCGCCCACAGAGTCACTGCGCGGCGTGGCGCTGTAGTTTACCCGATTAATCGAGGCCTGCGCAAGCCTCAAGTCCCGTCCGCTGCCACAGGCCCCACAATTCACACAGTACTGATTTGCGCTAGGCTTACAGATTTGCCCCAGGACAAGCTCCAAACCTGACCTGCTGACTTGTACTGTCTCGATACACCGAGTGAGCGGCACGGGCTCGATGGCGTAGGACCGTCTTGATGGCGACAAGACAGTCCGATGTGTTCAAACAGCAAGACAGTACTGTGCGCTGTGTGAACTTTGAACCGTGGAGGAAGGGAGAGGCTGGGCTTGTTTTGGTGCAAGGCGTAGAGAGCTGAAGTTATTTTTAACTTCCCGCCGTTGATCAGCTAAGCGAATGGATAAGTGAGAGGGAGCGTGGTATTGTAGTAACAGAGACCTAGGTTTCTGGTAGTAATAAGAATAAGTTGACTTAGATTACCCTAGAATGGAGAACTCCAGGGGTCGTTGTGATTGGCTTTTGTATCGTATGTATGTAACCTATTTTGTAGATGTGTTACACTCACAGTGACATAATACAGAACATTTAGGAGACGGGCTAGGCCTACTTCAACCCAATGTCAGGGCCAACCTGGGCTGAGAGGGAACAACGCCCCAGCAGAAAGACGGAGGTTCTCAGTAAAATTTTCTCCCCATACGGGAATCGAACTGAGGTCTTTTGCGTGCGACGATGAAGCGCTTGGCTCGTGCACATTAAAAATAAACAGGCCTTAACATCATAAGAATAGCCGATCCAATATTAATTTTTAAGTGCATTGAATAGAGCTTTTTGTTTTTTACAACCGAACTATGAAAAAAAAACCAACCGATCTTGCACTTTTGGTGCAAGCCTCTCAGCGCAAATAACCAGAGAATCTATAATATGTACTGAGCCCACTGCCACGAGAGTTCGCGACGTCACGACACAGTACAGCAGGACTGTCCGCGAGTCACAACTCACCGGAAGTTCCCTCCGGTAGCAAGCAGGAGGCAAATCAAACCACAAGCCTGCTCGCAAGACTCTAGCGCAAGACTTCCGCTGCTTTACAAGCCTTCGATTAACCGAGCAGAATCCAGCCCTAGTATGTTGCCCAAGCTTCATTCCCAGATCAGTGAAATCTAATGAGGATTTCTTCAAGTTCAAGCACACTTTTGGAGATCTATACAGAAGAAAGTAATCACTCTATAGAGGAAAGAAGTCAGAACCACAGCGGTCTTTTTGTTATTTTTATATAATAGAGACGCCTGGACTGTAAATCAGTGTGTGGTTGCGTATCGTACTCGAAAGGTTTTAATGCAAACAAATGCGAAATGGTGACATGAAAACATACATACACAGAGAGAGAGACAGACAGATACACACAGATAGAGAGAGAGAGAGACAGTGAGAAACATTCACAGAGACAGAAACAGACAGACACACACACACACACACACACACACACACACACACACACACACACAGATAGAGAGACCGACAGAAACATTCACAGAGAGAGAGAGAGAGAGAGAAAGAGAGAGAGAGACAGACAGACAGACAGACAGACAGAAACATTCACACACGCACACACACACAAAGATAGAGAGACCGACAGAAACATTCACACACACACACACACACACACACACACACACACACACACACACACACACACAAAGCGAGAGAGAGACAGACAGACAGAAACATTTACACACACACACACACACACACACACACACACACACACACCAAACTGTAAGCTCCTTTTCTCTTGATATCGGTGATAACATGTCTCTTACAGAGCTCAGTCTTCTTGAAGCCTCTTTGAATGCAGTTCTTTTCAGAGTTATGCGTCCAATAAACCCCAGTGACACACTTCTGAAGCTGTTCATCAAAAAGATGTCTGGACTCCTTATACTTTTTTCAAAGAGTCCGCTAGCTTTTAGTTCATATTCTTTTTGAATTCAGGAGTGTGTTATCCTTTGTATTTTTAATGTTATGGCATCTGACTCATAAGCTAGAAAAACACTTAATTTTAGTGAGAGTTTTTCAGATGACTTCCGTGAGATAAGTGGGCATGGTAATGTCAACCAGTTTCAGTTGGTAGCAGTAAATAGCAGTGAATGATGTTGATTAGTGAGGTTCTCGTAAAGAGACAGCAAGAGTTGATTGGCTCGCATTGTGTGTGTGTGTGTGTGTGTGTGTGTGTGTGTGTGCGTGTGTGTGAATTTGTGTGTGTGTGTGTGTTTGTATGTGTGTGGGTGTGTATGTGTGTGTGCGCGCGGGAAGATGTCGCTGTGAGTTCTTCCTCTCTATTGTCTCCGTATCTTGCTTATTCCTTGCACTTTATTTGTGGCTGTTGTTATGTCAGAACGCTTCTCCTTTCTCAAACTCCAACAATCAGCTCAGTTCGAATTTCGAAAGTGTACGATACAGAGCTTTGCATATTATGTCTCACGTGGTCTCATAGTGGCTTCTTATGTGTATCAACGAAGCTGTCACTTAAAGGACCGGGCAGCTGTCAGCTCAGTTGGTTTCGTGTTGGGCTGCGTTGCAGTTGAACCCGTTAGAAATCCTGACGGGGCTTTTTTTTTCTCAATTTAGAATATTTGAGAGTTTCCACGGCCATCCACTCACTTGACTCGTTCCTATTGGAAGTGAGCGTGAATCAGGAGCTTCAGCCTCTTAAAATTTGTTTTTGTTTTTGAAAAGGCGTTATAATATATCCATACTGGACCGAGCTAAGTGTCAAGTTATTACAGTTATTGTGGCGCCTGTGGCCTATGGTTTGGCTCTCGGACTTGCAACTATGAGGTCGTGAATTCGAATCCCGCCAGGGGCCTGACGTTGTGTCCTTGGGAAAGGCACTTAACACGAATTTTCCTCACTTCACCCAGGTGGGAATGATTACCCAGCTGTAGACAGCGACAGACAGGGGCGAAGGCTGACTTGTTTGACAGGGTAATCAAAGTGAAATGGGACCAGATAGGGCCTGGAGATATCACACTCACACAAGTCACAAGAATCTTACTGGCACTGGAGGCGGCAACTCTGAGTTGTGAATGAAAACAAATCCTGAATTCATGTTGTATGCATGTTCAACCGCTAAAATAGTCGGGAAAGTATTTCATTAAATATTTATTCCAACTAACCTTAAATTTAACTTTAGATTTGAACACACGAACACCAAGGAAAGAAGCAGAGATGTCAGTACTACAATGGCAGGTTATGCCAGTCAACCGAAACACTTTGGTAGAGCATACCAATTATTAATTTTTTATTTCACATTTGGCGGATTTTTGTCTAGCTTTTCGCGGCCAGGAGCCAGTGTCATAATCGAGGTCACGATCTGATTATAGGACGTTAAAAAGTCGAGGAAAAAAACAAGCACTCGAAGCAGTAAAAGGATTATTAGGAGTTAGTTCCCCTCACATCTGTGCGGTAGACTCGACCAGTGTAATAGTTCGCTTATATAATCAGCGCGTCTGGGTGTTTATAACTGTGACCCGAAAGGGGTGAACAGGGTATATGCGACAATGAAACAGTTTTGACTACTATGCACATGTTCCCTTCAACTCTATTGGTTGACTCTTCTAGCCTCACTTTAAGCTTACTTAATCAAAGCTTGTGACTGCTTATGGAGTGGCCCGATAGGGGCGAACAGACTATTTCTGTGGCAATGAAACGGTTTTGAAGGTTAGGCATAGTCTATTGTTCATTGGTGATTATGAACGTCTTTATACATTTAATTTATGAGGTTTACGTCTATGGTTGAATTTGACTGCGACAATGTTTCAAAAATAGGAAGGGAAGCAGTGATTATTTGGTTATATAGACGCTTCGCCTCTGGCGACAGATCTTGTCAGTTTGTTCGTGTTTGAGCGCTTAATCAATTGCTTGCATGGTAGGCTTCCCGGGAAGCTGAGAATGTTTCTGAGTGTTCTATGGTCTGCTGGGGGTAATACTATAGTTGTAACTCGCTGTTGAGCCGGAGTATGCGATATACAAATGCTAGATCTATTTATTATTTATTATCATTACGAAGTTCCCGTAATATTTAATTTGCACTTAGTGAAAAAGCATACAAAACGCCATAAACGCCCCCCCCCCCCTTCCAAACAAACAACAACAATACGAAACAAAACCAAAAACAAAAAACATTTGGAAGAATTGGAGACCAGTAAAACACGATCTAGTGATTTAGAAAAAGTCGTGTTGTGTGCTGAACATTTGTATTTATTTGGTTTACCCGAGATGGTCTATAACACCGAATCTGTGTCCCCGTGAACGAGCGAAGACAGAGGAGATGCACGACGGCTCTGTTCACTCTGTGGTGAGGGCTTCTGCCTTGGACAACGACCGGACACGTGCCACCAGTTTCTCTGATGAGCAAGGCAACAAATAGTTTGGTACTTTTTTTTTTTACCATGCTCGGACTTTCTCTCTCTCTCTGTGTGTCTCTCTCTCTCTCTGTCTCTCTCTGTCTGTGTCTCTGTCTCTGTCTGTCTGTCTGTCTCTCTCTCTCTGTCTCTCTCTCTCTGTCTCTCTCTCTCTCTCTCTCTCTCTCTCTCTCTCTCTCTCTCTCCGTTACACGCACATACACACATACACACAACCACAAACACACACACATGCAATATATTGTAAGGCTGCTGAGAAGATCAGTTCGAACTGGGCCAACATAAGGAAGCTCGAGTTCGATTTTGCTCATCCCCGTGGAATATCTATTTTTCCCCTGCCTCTCCTGTGCCTCTGTCCCAGCTATGCGCCAAGTGCCTCGCCTTTAAAAAATGGCCTTTGCGACATAACACGTCAACGAAAGCACCCCCCCCCCCCTTTTCCCACCAACAGAAACAAGACAAACAAAATAAAAACCACCACCAAGAACAAACGAACAGACACCCCCCCCCCCTAAAAAACCCACAACAATTACAAACAAAGCAAAACGAAACAAAAAACAAAAAAAGAACTCATTCAACTCACGTGTATCCCGACGGGCCATGTAGTGACACCCAGCCTCCTGCATAGCGGCCTGCATCATATCTCGGACCAGAGGTCTCAAGAACCGTTTGCTAAATGCGTCGCACATGTTGTTCACGAAGCGCATCATGCACTGCTCCAGCTCAACTCCCAGCCTGTGGCAGTGGGAGCAGGGACACAGGTAAGTTTTCAAAGTATAAACAAGTTGAAAGATTTCAGAAATATTCAAGTCTTATATTCACATTGTTCGTCTCTTTCAGTCAGGAAAACGAACAAAATACATTTTAGAAATTAGCCCCCAGCTTTTATGGAAAGAAGTTGTAAGAAAAGGCTAAAATCAAACGAAAGCTTGGTTCAATTTACGACATACTGTACAGACATTAATGCAAGTTTTTACGTTCGATATCCTTATCATTTCTGTTATATAAACCGGTCCAACCAAACAAAAATCATATTCAAATTTATAAAATGCTGACATACGGGCAGATGGCGGTATGCGACCTCCGACCAGCCTCGATGTCGGGAATCAACAGGTTACTTTTCCTCTCGAACTCCTCTGAGCATCGGTCCAACCGACTCGTGTCGTCAGAGCACGCCTGAGCACCTGTGGAGCAAAGGACAAGCAGTGGTGGGATTTATCAAGTGGGAGAACACTGGGTTTTTTTTTGTTTCCATGAGTCTGCACCGGCAGAAAAGATACCAAACTGCAGTTAACTGTATGAGTTCTGATGTCTGTACTCTTGTCAATCTATATGTTATTTCTAAAGGGTAACACGGGCACGAGTCGATGCATTTTCAATTTTATTTTAACAATACAATAAAACCTCGTAATACCGCCTCCCTCTGGGCGAGCATGAAGTTTGCGGAACAGCGGGGCTGGCGGTTCAACGAGGTTTCTCCTACTGCCCAACTTCAAGGAACATGATTCTGCTGTATGATCTGTTTTTGAAAAGTGTCTTTTTGAGTTTTTGTTGGTGATATACATGTACATGAACATGTATTCAGAGCCAAGAGTCTTCTCTCTGTATCTCTCTGTATCTTTCTCGTGGAAGAAAGATTATCAAGTACGGTAGCCCACCAATGGGTCTTGTGCACTGTGTGCAATGTTTACCTCAGGTGGAAGATTCGCTGGAGGTATTGCGGGGTACAATTATATAAGTTGAATAGGGACCATACAACTCAGACAGTTAGTAGATGGCGGATGACAGTGTGAAGGAGTAAATACTGCGTTTGGATTGGCGCTCCTTTTCGTACATTGACAAAACCTGGAGGTAAGCGGGGCAGGCGGTATAACGGGGAGCGGTACAACGAAATTTGATTGTACGTGTATTTCTTTCTTTTCTGGAAGCTTACTTAACAGAAGCACGTAGGAACTGTGTACCCAATGCCCTTAAACACACTATACCTACCTTGAAATTATTTTTTAAAATTATGGAACTGAGTGACTTAATCAGGCTACTTTGCTTTAGCTTAGCCTCACACAAGTAACACAAGTTGATAGAATCTACTTACAAACTTTAACAACTTAGGCTTAGATGAATATGGCACTAAGACTGTAATGTAGGGAACACATTTATTCATTTCAGTATACCCAGGATGGAGAGAAAATACGAGTTTACATTAACTCATCCGATTTTCTGATACCTGCAAACAAGGCGAAGCCGGCAAGGAATACAACTAGAGTCTGCATGATGACGTTGTCAGATGAGCGAGAAGCAACAAGTCTGGCGTTGAATGGTGCTGGACAAAGCTGGTAGTAGCTTAACTTGGGTACACGATCGATATTTATACAGAAAAGCCACATGAATTTTCAGAAGTCAACAGTCCATTAATGATGATTTAATGTTAGGGTGGTTTTCTTGTGATAATGAATGTCATCGAAAAGAAAATTTGACAATTTTGGTCAAAGTCAGTTATAACCCTGTCTCTACACAAGAAAAAGGTACATTCGTATATTAATAGCCATGTTTGCATGATCCATGACCAGTGCTTGGCTGTGTCACTTTGACAGCTGAAATGTTACCCAGGGCTTCAGACTTCATAACAATACCAGGAAACAGAGCACTGAAAAGGTACCAAACGAAAAATACGTACTTTTATAAGGACAAAATGCAGCCACTCTGCTGGCCACAAGTTCTCTTGGACATACTGGGCAGTCTACAATTAAGGACAACCTTTTCCCACAGGTTCAGCGAGTTGGAATGTCCTGTTATCTAAACCAGATTCCTCTAATTGACAATAATGGCAACGGTGACCGACCTAAACGGCTGGGACGTCCATGCCATTTCCGAAATGGAAGTTGCCACGTTGAGTGCCCCCCTGTAATGATGATGGTAAATTACGATCAGTGGCAATGACCATCTCATTTGTCACTTAATACTGCTCCCGTTCCTGACTCTATAGAAGCGGGGAAAAGTTTTTCAAGAAATGTCTTTGTTGGTTTACCAATATACATATAAAATGCACTGCACAGGTTATGAAAATACATCTTTTATTTAAATGGTGTTTTGAATTCTACATGTCTCCATTAAAATCATTCCTAAATTAAACATGCGTGATCTTTTAATTTAATGACCATGTAATATGTGCTTTATAATACAACATTGCAGGACAAAAGACAGTTTCAATCGTTGTCACAGATGTCTCTTGTGGTACAAGAAAAACCCCTGACTAGATTTTCTTCATATAAAAATTATTAGTGGGTTTCTAAGTCGTCGGCGAACTGTGCAGGTGTATTTAGCCCAAAATTTTGATTTTTTTTAAAAGAGCGGTTTCTTAAATCTTGAGTAACAGTTGCATGTGATCGAAATATTTTGTCGAAATTCATATTTTAAATGTTGATAGATAGAGATAGAAAAGTTAAGTTAATGTCCGATCCTATGGACCATCACATCTCAGTTGTTCAAATGTCCGAGGCTACGCGTTCCTGTACAGCGTACACTTGTTTTATCACCACCACATGACCGCACGGTGTAATGGCGGGTCTGCCTTCACGTCCTGTCCAGATACTGTTTTTTTGGATACATTTACCATAATATTCTGCTTGGTTGTGCTGAAAATATGGACACATTTTCGGGCAAAGACCGACGACAAGGGGCTAATGATTTTCTACATTTTCAAGACTGCTAAAGAAGATCCTGACGCTGTGCTGAAGAGGGTAATTCCATAGTGGACTAGTACACGATCCAAGGAATTCAGAAAGTCAGAGTAAAGATAGATAAAGGAAAAGACGACGCTTCATCGTTACATTGTCACAGAGTTCAGTCTTATCTGCTAGAGGTTCAACAGAGGGCAGGGTGGGGTTTTAAACTTTCCTTCTCTCTCATCTCTATTTCTCAACCCCATTTCGCCACACATACCGTCATGCCCATCATTCTCTCTCTCTCTCTCTCTCTCTCTCTC